TCTGCTCATCTGTTCCGAGATGCCTGGGCCTCCCTGGTCAGTCAGTCAGTTCACTTCACTCGACTTTTTGGCTTGTTAGTTTTAGCTGGCTTTGGCTCTGGCTCTGATTCTGGCTCTTGGGTCTTTGGGTTCCTCAAAAGCGCCCTGCCCCGTCTTCCTAACCCCCATCCCCTTCCCTCTTGTCTACCGTTTCTGTTTTTGTCGTTTATAGCTTTTTTCTTTCTACTTTTTTGCTTCTGCAAAAAAGAGAGACTTGTTAGACGCTGATTCAGGTCCTGTCAGATCTCAATTGCTTGCTCCCTTGCATCAAAGACACGAGGTCAACGCCCGCGCATCCCGCGCTGTAGCCATCGAATCATTTCTCGCTTCGTTCCGATCCTCGACACACCTACGACCCAAGACGCAGACGCACTGCAGACGCTCGTCCCTCTCTCAACCTTCTTCCGTCCGCCTCTGACTGACTGCGCGCCCACTCCCACTCACTCACGGACCCTTCCCCTCCAGTCCAGTCCAGTCCAGTCCAGCCCATCGCTCCTAGAGGCCCCACCTCCCCGAAGCCTCAGCTTTCTCATCTGGTCTTTCTATCAGCCCAGAATCAGTTTCTACATACAACAAAACACGAATTGCCTCGATTCTGTACAACAACTGTGTAACCGTTATTTCCGACAAGCCCGTCAAGATGGGCCTGTTTTCTCGTAAAGACAAGACGCCAAAGGGCGACCAGGCCATCAACACCTCCCAATCCAACGTGAGCGTAAACTCGCATTCTTCGAGCTTGAGATCTCCCGCTCCTGGCGCCAATCGCAACCCCCTCAATCGAACTTCAGCTACCAGTACCTCGCCCGGTGGCCCAATGTCTCCAGTCAAACTCCCAAAGATCGATCTCCCTCGACCCCCGGACCCCCAGCTCGACCCTGCTGGTTACTTGCGAAGTCTTGGTGCTGTGAGAGAGCGAAGCAAGATTGTCACTGACAAGGCACTGCGCAACGAGTTGAAGCATTTCGATGTGGATATGGGCAAGTTTCCCGACGTGGTTACTTTTGTTACAGGAATTATCAAGGTGAGTGGCCACGAAAATCGCCAATTTTCTAGCTAACAGCTTGTAGCGAGACTATGATGCCCCCTTCCTCAGCATTCCCGGCCATGGTAGATACCAGCACTTTGCTGTCGGAGGTCGAGATCGCATTGCCCAGCTTCTTTCCACCTGGCCCACCAATGTGGATAACACAGAGCGATGCCGACGTTTGATCGACCTTTTCCTAGTCAGCGTGCTTCTAGATGCAGGCGCTGGCACTTCCTGGCAATACAAGAGCAATGAGAATGGTCGCGTGTACAGAAGATCAGAGGGTATCGCAGTTGCCAGCTTGGAGATGTTCAAGACTGTGAGTACATATTTTCTGTCGCATTACAAGATGCTAATATCAGCAGGGATTGTTTTCTGGAAACCCCAACAACAAATTCCAGGTCGACAAGGATGGCCTCAAGAATCTCACCGTCGAGAAACTCGCGGCTGGTCTTCAATCAAAACCTGGCAATGAAATGGCTGGTATTCAGGGTCGCACCGATCTTCTGGTCCGCCTTGGAGAAGCTTTAGCCGCTAAGGACGATTTCTGGGGCTTTGAGGGTCGCCCTGGATGCTTAATCGGTATGTAACTTTAACGGTCTCCCGCGATAAAGCTAATCTTTTTTAGACCATCTCCTCGGCCACCCCTCAACACAAGCTTCGTCTATGCTTATCGTCCCCCTGCCCGTCCTGTGGAACGTCCTAATGACCGGTCTCGCTCCCATCTGGCCCGCAAACCGAACTGCGATCAACGGTGTCTCTCTTGGTGACGCTTGGCCCTGCCAGGCTATGCCTCAACCTGGCGCGTCTCCCAAGGTTTCCGCTTTCCCCAACAGCTCAAACGCCGCTGCTTGGGAGTCTATTCTTCCTTTCCACAAGCTCACCCAATGGCTCACCTACTCGCTCATGCAACCGATGCAACAACTCCTCAAGATGCACTTTGCCGGAACAGAATTGCTCACTGGTCTGCCCGAGTACCGAAACGGTGGTCTCTTCGTCGATATGGGTGTCTTGAACTTGAGGAAGGATGATTTGGAGAGGGGTCTTCAGAACTACAATGAGTGGGTGCAACGGACAGGCGCCAAGGGCGTCGAGGTAGCACCCATGTTTGAGCCCAGCGACGATGTCATCGTTGAGTGGAGAGGTGTCACAGTCGGTTTCCTCGATATGCTGTGCGTCGAGGTCAACAAGACACTGAAGCCAGAGCTGGGTGGAAATGAATTGACTTTGGCACAGTTGCTAGAGGCTGGTAGCTGGAGGGTAAGTCTTATTCCACCAAACAACATCCCCCGAAACAGCACTAACTCATTCCAGGGCGGCCGCGAGATTGCCGAGATCAACAGACCTAATACCAAGGAGCCCCCGATCCTTATCGAGAGCGACGGCACCGTATTCTAAACAAAAGGCGCTGTTTTAATCAACATATGCCCTTCTTGGATGTATTAACTGAAATGAACATTACGGGAAACTCGAGGGGGAGGAAATAGAGCGTGAAGCTTAAAGTTTCTTTTTTTAAACTCACTTCGAAAGCATTCAAAGCATTTATTCAAATTAAAACCAGAAGATGTGTTTTTATCTTTTTCTTTTTTGCCGTATGCGAAAATGGCAAGAAAAAGGTGGTGGGCTTTATTTTATTACAGACACAGCAAGATGAGATGAATTGAAATGGAATGGGCAAAAGGGAGCGCCAGGGCGGAAAAGAAATCCTTGGCAGGGGGTTTGCCTAGTTTTATAATTGAGACACAAGTCGAGTCAAGTCGAGTCGTACAAGGCGTTTGCCGCTTGATTCATTGAGTTGAGTCGTCTTTGAACAGAATTAATTGGGATGGTTGTTCTATTACATCGATACTCGACCATCGATAGATACATGCAGACACTTTTATATCCAGTCATGCAAAAACCCCGCCAATGCCTATTATACAATGCCTGTACAAGTTTATCCTTATTTTACAGTTATTTGTGATACAGTTGCTCATCGCTTGTACTTCTTCTCAAACTCATCACGCTCCAACTTTCGTCGCATGTTCTCGAGCTTCTGAATCTGCTCCTTTCTCGCCTTCTCAGCTCGCTCCTCAGCAGTGCCGCTGTACTGATTCGTCATGTTGCCGACTGAGTCGGAGACACTCTTCTTCATATTGTCAAGGTTATCGGTGAGACGCTCACGAATGCCCTCGAAACCCTTGGCCTGAGTGACGCGGGGAGGCTTGTAGACGGGCTCCACAATCTTGGGGATGGGAAGATCGAGAGCGCGACGGACGGACTCGTTGTTGAGAATGGCGGCTGTGACGAAGGTGGCGGCTCCAGTGGAAACCATCATGAGGTTGACACCAGCGCCGAGGAAGCTTGTGGCAACTAGAGTAACTGCACTCATGACGTAGACCATGTTCTGCATCATGGCCTTTTGCTCAGGGGGCGTGTATTTAGAGTTGAGCTAAATTGGTGTTAGATAGAACCTCATATAGAGCCTGGAAATCTTACCTTCAAAGTGCCGACCAGGAGAACAGTACCAGCGATAGGAAGGGCGTAAAAGGGATCGGCAGCCGTAAGGTCGGCGAACCAGGCCCAGCCAGCGTTCTCCATAGAGGGAACTGGGATGTGAATCATGCCGTTGATGACTCGGAAGAGACCGAAACTGAAGGGAACCTGGACAAAAGCCCAGAACATGTTCTTGATCTCGGTGCCGTATTCCTTTCGGACCATATTGCCGATAAACTGTCCCTTTTGAATCATCTCCCGATCACCTGTCTGGTAGCCCTTCTTCAAAAGCTCCAGGCTTTCCACTGATCGAGGATCAGACTTCATCTTGGCCGTGGCAGCGCTGAACTTGACACTGCGAAGTTGAGGGTAGATCATGATGACACGTAATAAGAGGGCAGTTGCGACAATCGAGCCACCCCATCCGAGACCGGTATACACATGAACGTGCTCCAAAACCCATTGCATGACGGACGTAGGACCCCAGCCGTAATCGAGGCCAATCTCCTTCAGGAAACCAATGTTCTCGGGCATCGTGAGAATGCTGGGGTTGGCGAGGTCGGCAATGCTTTCGAGGTCGAATTCGGAGGGCAGAACTGAAGATGGTTCAGCAGACTGTGTCACATCTGCTAACTTATCGGCGGCAGGAGTAGGAGCTTCATTAATGGGTGTGGGGTCGATAGTCTCGGGAGGAGTGGGAGCTTCTGGCGTTGTGACGGCTTCAACAGCTGGCTCTTCTGTCTTCTTCTTTCCATAGATGTTGTAACCCCATAGCGAGAGTTGCCTTGAAGAAGCAACACCCCCCAAGAAAATAGGCGCAGCAATATTCCTGACACCAACTCTTGTCCCAGCCGTGAGAGGTGTGCGAGCGCTCTTCATCGCTGTGCCGAACTGTCGAGCATCGAATTTTCTACACAGGGTCCTTGACATCTACAATTGTTAGTATAGTTTATTAATTGGTCAGAGACAAACACACAGAATGACCACATGGCCTTTGGAAAGCGCCCGAAGGCAAAGAGCGCACAATTCCTCGGCTGGGAAGCATTGCGGCGGTGATGAAGTGGGATGGGTCGGACAATAAGTTGCGCGATGTTGCTGGGAATTTTTTGGAGGTTTTCCGGGACCGGCGGGTAAATGTCGGGTTCGCGATAGTCCGCCGCCGATGATCTCCGAGTGACCTTGTCATTAGGCGGCCTCGGCCTGTGACTGGGAGTGATTGGAGTTGAGAGATTGAGTCGAGTGGTTGCAATTGACGTCGCTGCGTTCGAATGAGTGATTTTTACATTTTGAACCGCCGGTGCAACGAAACGCCACAATCCATGTTCCTGTCTAATATATAATCTCAAATTATTTAACATGATATGCATTCATCCGTCCTTGCTCTTTCGTAGAAAATTCACAGCGATGAGTGCGTCTTGGGTGTGATGGATAACAATCCGTAAGGTGAAGGATTTCCGACATTTTACTCCAGGCTTGCAAAATCGTCCAGCGAAGGGCGAGGAGCATATGGCTTTTCTCGAAGCTCGATACCAGGTCCGATAGGGTGAACTCTTCTGCGCGAGAGGGGAAAGACCTGTATTTGTTAGTAAGGGTTGATAGCTCTGAGAACTGCACAGTATGGTATACCTTTGTACCTCCCCATCCCAGCCTGAAAGCAGCTTCATGAGCAAAGAGCTCTCCAAATCCAAGCATCATGCCGTTGACAAAAGGTAGTAGGAGGTTGATAGCAGCTCCCCGTATCAAAGACCACACTGTAGGGGGCTTGTAGAGAATGACGGGTGAGTTTGACGAGGGAGGTGAAGAGAGATCATCGCCTGCAGAGTATAATTCGCTGTCGGAGTGCAATGTCACGCCGGACTCGGCGAGGTGGTTGTGTTCGTCGGACATGGCAGGCCTCGAGATGTGAGCGCAGGTTCGGATAAAGACAAAGGAGTAAATAATATGAAGCTCGATTGCTGGTCGTTGTCGGCTTGAGCTAGCTTCTGAAGAGGTTGTTGACGATCTCGGCTTCTCGACCGTCGCGCTTGATTCCCCCAGATCCTTACGTAAGGCTGCAGGACCGGGGCAGAGATGGACCTGACTTCCGCAGGTTGAAGTGGTGAGTGGGTCCCCACTTGTGTCATGGCCCAGTCGAGGGAGGTGGGGTGAAGGAGCCCACCGCCACCAACCCAGAGCTTCCTTTGCTTAGAGGTGACGAGCAAGCTGCCTGCCTGTTGCTGGAACCTTCATTCATCACCAAACACATTTTGAGATTGACGTGTCTTTTTATCTTGATTCAACCACCTCTAAATCTACCAACGCTCCCCACGAATCCGCAACTTTTGAAAACATCAACACTTATTTCAACTACCCCGCCTTCAATCGTCAACATGGCAGACCACGACGCCCAGATCGTGGAGTTTGCAGGCCTGAGCGGCGCAAGCCCTGAAGAGGTTCGCATCTCTCTGACTCGCACTGAATACTCCAGCTAACACGCTCAAGGCCAGACAGTATCTCGAAGCCCACAACTGGGACCTCGCCGAGGCCAGCAATGCTTGGTTCCGTGATGCCGAAGATGACAACCGCGACACATCCACAGCTCCCGCTGCCGCTCCTCCTGACAACTATACGGGCCCTCGAACTCTCGACGGCCGACCAGCTCCAGAGGCTGCCCGCAGCAGCCAACCAACTCGCAAGCCTGCCGCATCACAACAGAGGAAGAGGGGGATTGCTACTCTAGGATCTCTCGGTAGCTCATCCCATCAACACGATCATGGCGATGACGATGATGATGACTTCGACGGGGAAGACGATGATGGACGAGGAAACCTGTTCGCTGGTGGTGAGAAGTCTGGTTTGGCTGTTCAAGATCCGCATCAGGAGGGCGGTCCCAAGAAGATCATCAGCGATATTCTCGCCAAGGCCCGAGCGTAAGTCCCTGAGCATGTGAAGGTGAATTTAACTGACAAATTAGCAACGCTCAACGTCCCGAGGCCGAGAACGAGGCTGGCCCTTCCGAGCCTAGTCGCTTCCGAGGAACTGGACAGACACTCGGGGGGGACGGTGTCGAGAGCCGCAGCATTCCTGATCCTCTCGGCCCAGCTCGCTCTTCAAACGCCGAACCTCAAGAACGAGTTCTTCACATCTGGCAAGATGGCTTCAGCATCGACGACGGTGACCTTCGCCGATTTGACGATCCCGCAAACCAGGCCGACCTCGCCCTGATCCGAGCTGGTCGCGCACCTCTTCACCTCATGAATGTGCAGCATGACCAGCCCATCGATGTCAAGCTTCACCAGCACGACACACCATACCAGCCACAGCCCAAGAAGTACAGACCTTTCGGTGGCTCTGGCCAACGACTTGGAGCTGTTGTCCCTGGTGTCGAGGGTTCAAGCTCTTCTCCTGCCCCTGCTTCTTCCGCCACTCCCTCGTCCTCCAATGCTCCCACTGTCGATGATGCTCAGCCCACAATCATGATCCGAATTCAGATGCCCGATGGCACACGCCTACCCGCTCGTTTCAACACCACCCACACTATCGACGATGTCTACGGTTTCGTGCAGGGAGCGTCCCCAGACACACGATCTCGATCATGGGTTCTTTCCACGACATTCCCCAACAAGGATCACACCGACCGCAGTTTGGTTCTTGGCGAGATGCCCGAATTCAAGAAGGGCGGTACCGCCGTTGTCAAGTGGACTTAGAAATAAATGGAAAAATCGGCGTTGAGGTTGATTTACGGACTGGTCAACAAATGCGGATGCTAGCATTGACTTATAGAGGTCATGGATAGAATCACAGATAGCTAAAATGCGAAATGAATTGTATATGAGCCATGTATGCATATATGTAATTGATACTCAAAAATATCACCTAGAGTGGTATCTCAACACCTAACGCCAAATAACAAGCCATGCGCCGTGATAACTCCGATCTATGCGGTCTTGTCAGTTTAGGCGGCAGCAGTGGCGGTGTTGGGAGCTGGAGTTGCGGGGCCATCCAGAAATCTGAAGTGCTCAATGGCAATCTGACAATTGAGCATAGCAGCGTTGAACCGAGCCTCTCCAGGTGGAAGAACAACCATGAGATACGTGTTCGTCGTGAACTTGAGAATAAACAAACTGAATCGGTTGCCGGCCTTGTGTTCCATGCGAATAAACTGCTCGGCATTGCGCGGCGTACCGGTGAAGCGCGAAATACTCTGCTTGAAATGCTTCATGATGTTGGATATGCGCTCTAGTCGATCCTCAGTTGGGTTGCGTTGGCCTTCAGATGATGTCCAGGATGATACGGCAAGGAACGATGTGCGCTCGAATAGCAACAACTCTTCAGCTTCGATGGCAAGGCCCAGGTTTGCGAGATTTCGCTCAATGACGGAGAGGTTAGGCACAAGATCGTGAATAATCGACGCCCACGCTTTATACAAGCTCTGATCCCAAATCGACGTCGCAAACGGCGTGAGCTCAATCGACGACGCAGCAATACCGACTGAATTCGCATACTCAAAGGTCTTCTGCCGCACAACCCGAATGCGCTCGTCGTAAACGGACTCACGTGCCGTAGGGACGACGAGATCCATCTTGTGAATGAGGATGTAGATCTTTGCGGCGGGAGAGTATTGAAGCAAGGCGGAGAGGATGGAGACGTAGGTTGCGAGATCGCGGTCGACGTCGCGGGATTCAATGTCGAAGACGTAGATCAGCACACCGACGTTGGAAAAGACGTGGACGCGCTGTTGCGAGAGATAGTTCTCCATAAAGGCCTCTTGACCACCGCAGTCCCAGAGGTTGAGGGTGAGGTTTCCGAGGAACTTGACGTGCGAAAGATCGATATCGATAGTTGCGCCCCTACATAATCAGCTCGAACTCCCAGACCAAGGTAAGGGGGATTTACAGTCTTCGTGTATCGCGGGCAATGTAGTTGCTAAAGATAATGCTCCTCATGCTCGACTTGCCGGAGCCGGACTTTCCCATGAGCAGCACCTTTTTCTTCTTGGGCTTCTTGACTTCACCGAGGAGTTCGGGGGCGGGCTGGGCCTCGGCGAGGGAGGTGTCGATATAGGAGGCCATGATGGGAGTGAGGTTGTTGGTGTTGGTGATGATGTAGGGTTGGAAAGTTGGAGTGGAGGGAGGTGATGAAAGGTAGCTTGCCTTAGCTTTTGGCGCTTGGGTCTTTTGGGGTTTAGCGCCCGTCCCCGGATATGGCCAGAGGATGAAACGTCTTGGCTGGTCCTCCGACTGCTGTAATTCTTTTGGTAAGCTGAAGTTATAATTGTGTTTCACGTGGTTTTAAGGAATTTATGTTTATTGTATTGTGCGAGTTACTTTCAAGTTTGATGAGATCGTCGCGAACTGTACCTATGCATCGAATGAGCCCTGTCAAATCTGCTGTATTCTCTTTGAGCCAAAATCGGATGTCTAGAGTACTATATACCTGGACAGACCTCAATTGACAATACGCTCTTACTTCCATACTATGAATCTCAGCTTTTGTCTCTTTTAAAGGCATTATCACTCGGTCAATGCTACATAAGTAAGTATTTGGCGAAGCCAGGTGCTGATGTGTAGGTCAGTTTCATTCTTATGTAGCACGAGTCGTTCGCTACGACACTGAGAACACAGTATCTCGAATAAAGACCGAGATACATAAAATTAAACAGGGAATTTTTATGCTGGTCGTATATGTGCGACCATATCGTCCTCGACCAAGACTGGGCCTTGCCGAAAAGCCACTGGAGGCACCGAGGCCTTAGTGAAACATAGCAGCCGGGTGATTCCAACATATCATATGATAGGAAACACGCTCTACGTTACACTTCTGAGACCATTTGCCGTCAATCTAGCAGGAAATTCTATGCTATGTCATTGGCGAAGCTCGAGGCGGGCAGATCATGTCAATGTCGCTCACTCCTAGTCGCTACAAGACGAATTGTGTTCATTTCACGTAACTATCCATAAATCGAACCATTGAATTAGCCGTTCTAAGCTCTTCTTAAGTTCACTGTACAGTCGCCAAATGTCACTTTCTTGTTCATCCTTTGACACAATAGGGATTCGTGGAAGTCATTAGAACTTGATTCACCTGAGATAAGTCTATTCTTCGCATGCTCAAGAAAGGCGCCTTCTCTGATATCTGGCATTAATTTGAACTTTTGAGTCTTGTTCTAATCGCTACAATATTCTTCTGGTGAAAGCCCTCGATTTTTCAATGGTGTGTTAGTGAGTATTAACAGAATAATGAGCACGTAACACCCGCAATTGTCTTTTAATATTGGAATCATGTTCAAGTCACTAGCCTAGTTCTTACCATAAGTCATTATACGTATTCCTTGAGGGGAAACAAACCCTCTGACATAAAACCAGGGTACCGAAATCTTCCATCACTTAGGTTAAAGATCCTGAGTTTTCTTGTCTCCCCTTAATATGCAACTTCTTCATCAAAGTGTTGATCACCCAAGGCATAGGGTAACACTCCAACCAAGCGAAGCTAACGGCATCATCCAATCCCAGACTGTCTAAAAGCCAGGAAGGGAAACAGGAGAATGCGCTAGAACTGTACAAGTATAGCTTGATTCGTCTATCATCTCGACAACATTTTGTTATGCCCATTCAAGGACACTGATCCTAAATTCCAAGAGTAAGGTGCAGTATATGGGTATTTATATAAACCAAGTCTAATGCCACATTGTAAATGTCCATCATATAACGCCGATGTCTCCAAGACCCGCATAGCACATAAATCATCGCTTATTCTCCCTGAGAATACGATGGCCTCTCGGTTGAGGGACTCGCCGAGATCTTATCGTTACCTGGACTCACCGACCCCGTGAGTATTGCCCAGACATTCGATTCAGAACTCTTATGATCAACAATATCACTGCAACAGTCAGCCTTGATCCTTCCCACCGTGACAATAACTTACATCCGGTTATCCTCGTCCCCTCCGTAGAGGGCATCGTCGTCTAGATATTTCAGCCGGCGACGACCAACTGGATCATTACCGAAGCTGACGAACTGAAAGGAGAAAGCGGTGTCGCCGATGCCTTTGTCTTCCATTCGCCTGATAATCTTCGTTATGCAGGCTTCAACACCTTTCTCTTCGAGAGAACCACCGTGCTCCCATATTCCATCGGTCAAGATAACAACGCTTGTTGGCCTTTTGGGGTCCACCACATTGGCATCTGCGAATATCTGGTTGAATGAATGCTTCATATTACAGAGAGTCTCAGCGTCGTTGCCACCAAGCCATTCTCGCACTGGGTTGATGAATTTGTCCATCTTGAGAAGAAATCGAGGTCGACGTTCTATCGGGAATCTCTTGTCTGGTTTTGAAGTGAAGCGGATTTCTGGACCAGAATGATCGATCTTCCTAACGAGCCATACCAAAACGTCCAATACTTTGAGTACCTCGCGCTCCCTATCACGCATTGTCTCAGAATCGTCTATTATAAAGACAAACCGCCGATTTCCCATCCGATTGCGAAACTTTTCGTAGCCTTCCAATGATTCCCTTTTACCATTGTTCTTACGGTGACTGACAACATGGTCAATAGTAAGGCCCCCATACATGCCCACTTCTTGTTTCTGAGGAGTGAGTCTGGTGATGTCGGCAGATGTCTTGGAAGGGCTGTTGGCGTCGGGAATCGAATGGTGATGATTATCTTGAGCAGGAAATGAGATGCCAGGATGCGTTGGAGAGCCCAACGTGTTTCCAAGGTTGAAGGACTTGGTAGATACCGCTGACGCAGGGGAAGATTTGTCTTCCAGCTCAGACATAGCCTGAAAACCATTGTGACTCCATTGAGCTGATGTGTGGCGATCGATTGGGGCTCCGTTATTCGAAGGCATTTGAGTATTGACACCAAGAGGGTCTCGCTGGTGCATTCCTGGGCGTTCCAACGCCATACCGTTCTGGCGCGATGATCCCGAATGGAAGGACGTCCGTTGGTGAGGAGATCGATCTGGCTGAAACAATGACTCGGCCATGTTCATGGGTGACTGAGTGAGTATCGGGGTGTTATGGAAGCCGGGATGAGGCAAGAGAGGCGTGCTATGATGACCTAAGGGGGGAGCAGGGTCAAAGATTTCCCGGTAATTTCTCTCAAACGTTTTCCAGATAAGGATGGGGGATTGTCTTTCTCCATATGGCACAAGCATCCAACGCTCGACGAGGCTGCAGACATTCCGCGAGAGGAAAATGGGACCCTGTAGCGCATCGAGCGCCGCTGAATGTGATTTCACAACACAAGTAAGCGCTGTGGAACTGTTATGGAAACATTCACCAAAGCTGCCATCGGCAAGAAGTGGCCAGTGTGTCAGGATCTCCCTCCTGCGATCGCTGGCAGCTTCATCGAGGGCAGCCGTACCTCCAGCAACCCAAACGATTGCTTCGCTGATGACACAACCAAGTGACCAGACATCGGAGGCTACTGGAACCTGCATAAAACCATTCTCCTGGTCCCTGTAGAGCCTGGTTGCTTCGGGAGAGCCTGTTGTAATCTGTTAACGCAACAAAACACTGCAAGATGAGAGTAGTTACAGTATGTCCTGTTTCCGTCATTGTCCTGGAAACTGGATTCATCCTCATCTATTGGTCGATTGGGTGTTGCAGTGTCGAAATCAGCAAGCTTCATTCGGAAGCCATACGAGTACCGCCCATCTTGACCAGGGAATACCAAGATATTGGCAGGCTTAATATCACGGTGAGAGCTACAACATTAGTAACAATGAAGAAAACTGGGAGTGTCACGTACAATCCTGTTCGCTGATTCCTAGGGCCGCCTCCCAGGTTTTGTATCTTGTCGATGGCCTTGGTGAGACCCATCAAGCCATATAAGAAATATCGCCGCTCTTCTTCGGTGACCGGTCGTTCGTTGCGCTTGAATAATTCGAGTAGGCTACCTTCACTCGCATGCTCTAGGATCATAAAACAGCGATTATTCTGTTCAAATGAACCAAGATATTTAACAATGTAATCGCAAGACTCGATCGCGGCGAAAGCATTGTATTCCTTTATCCATGCATCTCGCAAAGTTTCTCTTTCTCGTGTGCGGTACTCTTTCAAAACGACAGTACCCTGCTAACGTTAGGTAGTTGGAATGGGAGGTGCGGAGGAGGGAACTTACCGTTGGACTCCATTCGCGATCGAAGCATTCAGGGTACAGGGTTACAACTCTGATACTTGATTTGGAGTAATTCGAATCAGTGGTTATCGTGGAAGTTGTTTCGATAGGTAATATTTGCCGAGAATCGATGTATCGCTTATCCATGGGGGTATGTCTCGAGAATATCAGAGGACAGAACATCCACTGGTTCTCGCAAAACTCGTTCATGTCATCGACAAGTGCAGGGTCGTCACCAAAACATCGCGCATTGAGTAAAGGGAGTTGCTGGTCCTGATAACCATTGGAAGTGAAGTTGTTGATGAGGTATGTCCTGCTGATGTACACCAAAATGGAGAAGATGTTCAGGTAGCCATTCTCAATCGTCGTAGGAAGAGCGTGGATGTTGCGATCGATCGCTCGAGATAATCTTCGCTGGCCACTTTTCTTCCACCATCTGGCCGTGACTGCAGGGCTCACGAACTTGGTCGGAATGTCGTTTCCGTCGAATCCCGGATGCGATTCATTCTGAACATATCGCATAAACTCCTCATTGCGCTCGTCGCGCGGGCGTTTTCTGGGATTGGACATGGCGGCTATCCAACGAGGACCACAAGAGTCCGGCGTGAGAGTGAAAACAGCAATCTTTCTGGTCTAATTGTGTATAATTTAGATATGTAGAAGAGGGGAATCTGGTGATGGTGATGGTGATGGAAGGTAAAAGTGGTGGAGGTCTTTTCCGGTTAATTATTTAAGGTCGCAGGAGAGTGGTTCGCATTAGAGGCATGCGCGATCTTCTCCAACAAGGCACTTTCCAATTCTTGCCAGTTCGGGTCATCATCTTTCCAGATTGGTTAGCAAGGACGTGCATATGCAGCAAGGCTCTCCTCTGCAACATGGTATCATGCCCACCACTAGCTGGCAAAGTAGGCTGTGTTGCAGATGCCTTAAAAGCAAAGCCGCTCTTTTTCTGCCTTCTCGTATGATTTGGATCTCTGATCTGAGGATCTTTACCTTGAAAGTGGCGGAGATGGAACATGGTAGATGTAGTCTATCATGAGGAGGCCTGTTCGAGACCAGATGGTAGAGCCTCATAAGAGGGTGAGACAGGATATGGTGTGACATGCACATCGGCGCGGGGAACCAGGCTACAGCTTATCAAATGATCCCACGCATGGACATGAATCGACATCATCAGGCATATGCTGCTTTGTCTATAATTGCTGAGATATATCTTGTTTACGAGCTCCTGACTCGTGTTGAAATCTATTGTCTATAAAGTACAGATAGGATTAAAATGGTAGGAAATGAAATGAGGTTGTGCTGTGTTACTCTAAGATGCGTGTTTGACTCTTTCGCTATGCGGCCTGCGCAGCATGAAAAGAATGATCATCCAAACAACAATGGTGACGATCGTGATGGTAGCGGAGAGGCCAAAAAATAGAGAAAATATCTCCTTGTTTAGCCTCCATGGCGCCTTGGCGTTCACTTGAGGCCACTCAAGAATACCGCTCTGGAAGAAAGACTGCAAATATGATTAGTTGTTGCAACATGTCCAAGGACACAGTGACGTACAGCCATGAATGTTCCAGGGAGGAAAATCAGAGTCACAAAAGTGATGATATGCATTGAGCTCGTCTCTTGCTTGGTCTTGTTTGCGATATTCTCCATATTCCGAGTCGACAAGTGAGCGCTCTCTGCGTAGATCTTGTTGATCTGGATGGTTTTGTATTGGAGAATGGTGTTGTACTAAGGAAATTAGCCCTGGATCTCTTGGCGCTGAAGAGCGATTTACCATTTCTTTGCTCTCCTTGACGAGCAGTAGCAGCGCATTGAGCTGCGCCTGATGAGCATCGATATTGGCCTCAATATTTCGAGAGTGCCGACAATATTGAATGAACGACTCCTCGCAACCCTTCTTGATCCCTTTCAAAGCGGGAAGCCGATACTGGGTCATAAGACACTGGTAGTGCTCGCGGATCTGTCTGATGACTTGGTTGTTTAGCTTGAGAACCAGGAGCGCTTCCTGGATCGTCTCCAGGCCTTGCTGTAGTTTCTGTAGCTCGTCAAAAGAAAACACTTCAAGCCTCTCGAGTCGTTTGACTCGGTCATTGAGATCACCCCATGGGTCCCCCTTTTCATTGCTCTGACTGCGGGTCGTCCTAGATTCGAGGCTCGTCATATGCGAAAGCCTTTTCGAAGGCGATTCAGCCAAACCTGTGATGATTTTCACGTCTTTGGTAAGGGCTGACTCGTCTTTTATGGCGGGCGTTCTCGCTTTGTCCACAAGTGGTTTGATCCCATCAAAAAGTTCGTTGATGTAGAATATCCAATCATCATCGCACCAATCAATCAGCATAGTGAGAACCTCAAGGGAAGACGAGAACGCCTGTGGAACAGATTCCAGAACACTTGATTGAAGACATTTATTCTCAGACAAAGCTTCTTGGAATAACTCCTCGTTCAGCGAGTTCCCCTTGCAGGTTAGCCAAAGCGACTGCCCGTTTTCAATGTCAAAAGAATGATATACTGCGAGTTGTCGGACTCCCCAAGATCTGTTTGGGACGGAGGTGGAGCTCTCGACGGATCTCAAGACAAACGAATACCTAATTTCGCGCCCTGAGAGACCCATTCGATCGAGAGGCAGGATATCATCATCAGACGAGAGCAAAGTATTGTCGTCGTTGAATTGAGGAAGGTTACACCATTCTTGAGCAGAGTGCGACCGGCGGAAAGAGTAGAGACAGCTTAAGAACGAAGCTGGGATTCGTTGATATGTGCATAGATATTTGAACATCTTAATTGGACATCTGACTTGATCTTTGGAAGATTTGGAAAGGAGAGACCTGGGTTTGTTACATCCTGTGCCCAAGTAACGACCAGCGCACTTACACGTATCTCATCTTTGGGGCTTTCTTGTTCGGCTGTAAGCGAAGTAATAGATCTTCCATGGTCTTGACATCACCCGAGAGCGATTGACAGTTGCATGGAGTCATGCAGTCGCACGTTTCAAAGATCTTGAGACAAGCATTTTCGGGTCTCGGGTGGAAGATACGAGCTGCTTCTCGATTCCACGTAGTAGCTACTGCTTTCCGGGCTTTGGTACTCCTTCTGCTGCTGGGAGCAGTTTGAGGGTAGTTGTGAGAAGCATCGCATATCTTGTCGAAGTAACGTTCCTGTTCGGACAGCTCCACAGTAGCGATACTATTTTGGGAGGACATGATAGTATATGGCAATTTGATAAATGAGCTAGTGCTTGAAGGTTTCGTAGATTACTCGGGACCAAGCTATTTTATTTCCTTGAACAGAATTCCAATTCCACAGAACAGGGGTCCAAGATTCGCATAGCCTAGATCAAATGCAACGGCAAAATTTGATGAAGAGTGCCTGATATTGACTGTGCACAAAAGCAAGTTGGCAGTGATGCTTGTGGATGGTGTGAATGAAGATGGTAGAGATAGACAATGTGTATGAGGCCAGGTAGGGTACTGACATACAAAGTGGCTGAGTCGAAGGCGCATACAACTTGCCTCATGTAACCCGAACAGAACACTCAATATTGCTCATATGCGTAAATAACTAGAAGTAAAAGCAAGGGTTCACATTGGGTATTGTGAAAAGATATATCAGGAATGTCTTTGTAGCCATTTGCGTGATTCATGGCGCTAGATCATAGATTTCGTCTTTCTCAGCCTGTTCCAGATGTCAGCTGTTGGGAGAGACATCACAAGATGTACAAATGCAACAAGACAACCTACTTCAGTCAAGGTCACTGGAAGATAGAACACAAACTCGGTTCCTATATGCTGGAGCAACGGATCAGCTTCTGGTACACGAAAGCACTGCCACTCTCGGTGACCCGATCTACATACCTCGACCTCAATGGTCTGGTCATTGAACTTGGCCCGAAGGTGCTTTCGTACATCTTCTAGCCGCACCTTGTATGCAACAATAGAGTTGTGCTTCATGGTGGCAACCAAACGATTGGTGATCGTGCAATGCGGTTAGATTCTGGTGACGAAGTCTTTGTTTTCTCAGTCCTGTATTGCGCAAGTTCGCCTTGGGCATTTTTCTTTCCGCCTGAAGATAGTCTGCCTCGGGAATGGTTCGGGACTGTGCCAGGTATGTAGAGCAGGTTGCTAGATATTCGCTCTACCGATGGCTGCGGCTCAAGATAACGCGGGGCTTGCTCGAAGTATCAGATGGCGATTGGTAAATCCTCGCTGGATAGCGCAACGGGCCGGGCTTAGGGGATCAGGCTCTCGGATCAATTGCCTATCAAGTTCGAAGTGTGACCGCTGTACGCCATATTGCAGCTGGAAATGCGCCAAGAGAGGCATAAGCAGCAAGGGTGGTTTGAAATGATGGACGCCGTTGGCTGATAGCGTGCCAGTCTTGGGGCGATGGCTCACATTTTGGTCATGCAGGTGATTGCGAAGCCAACACGCAGCGAGGTGCAGCCTGATGTGACTCTTTTTAACTGAGCCTTAATCCGCACCATGAAAGAAACGAGAAGTGGAAGAAACATAATATGTGAAGGGTCTGCAATGTCTTTGTATCTATTTTAGAAGTGTTCAACAATGCCGTTGTCAATGTTTCATCGCAAAGCTACTATGAGCAACTGCCTCAAGGATGACTCGATGGCTGTCGAAGAAACTGTGCATCAATCACTAAATTATTCCCGGACAGTATGCGACAGACCTGTAGAATTCTGATCAAGATACTGACAGAAACATCCTTTCTGAGCGCTACGTTAACCGTGATTGATGGAGTGATCGAAAGTATGTCTAATCTTTGATGTCGAATTTATCAGCAGCGTCAATGTCGGGTTGATGATTGGCGAGGTCGAGGAGATCGGGCTCTGGATACTCACACAAACAACGTATCTTGAGTTGATGCTGGAGACTTGAGCAGTGTAGACGCGGCCTTCATTGTGCAAGAGTTGCTGCGAAAATTCTTTGTGACTGGAAGTGTAGATGTAATGTTCAAAATCGAGTTACTTGAAGTTAATTGTCGAAGTTGAGAAATGCGGGTTGAAAGCGAACAAAAGGAAGGCACGGCACGGCCAGTGAACCAAGGTACCTTACCTGCCACGGTGGCGGAAGATTTGGAAGATTGGGAAGTTGCATCGGCAACCCTTTGGGAGTTGTGGAAAGTTCAACTCTTGCATCATCATAAACCTCAACATGATCTGCTCAATAATTTGTTGAGTCACCTTCCAGAAATTTAAATCACTGACACTACGGAGTAAAGAAGATTAGACCAACAAGAGCTTCGTCCTGAGTTGTCCAAACTCCGTCCCAATCACCGAGATTGCTACTTGTCGGACAATTTTCATCTCAGGACCCCTAGAAATCAGGCTGAGATTCTCGATTCTAACTAAGGGCGGCCGACCAGGAGCGTCGAATTAACTGAAGGATGCGACGCTGATTACACCAGTCAAATTGAATGTCACCAAGGAGGGCGGCAGCGGCTTTATCAGGCGGGGAACCGTTGAAGTCTGATTCCGCCCTACAAGGCTGCTTTAAACACAAGCTTTAGCTGATGTGGAGAAGCAAGCTTGGCTTCGTCCCTGATCGAATCCGTTCGGCATAACCTTCTTGAAACCGTCCCACAAGCGAAACCAATGACGAGTGCGTCGATGCGAGCCGTCATTAATCCTTTCCTTCAAGTGCCGTGTTGGAACGGACACGGACTTGAGTACCAGAACCCAGCCACAGTCTTACTCTTGAGATGACGATGCAACCCTGCAAAGCCGAGATATAGCGCGCTGAACGAACCTGCATCGCCACACCGACACAGAAAATTCCGTTGCAAGTGCCCTGAAATTAAACCCGAGTCCGATCTCTGACTTCAGTGTCACAGCCACATTCAAGACTCAAGTCCGCTTCTCAACCACAACAACTCAATCTCTAGTGATATCTTGACCTACGGGTACGGTGAATGCAGGAAAATCATCAGATCCGCCTTTCAGGTAACTTCAATGCGATGAAAAGCATAAGCTGGGATCCATGAGTCGTGGATCTAAATGAGACGTTTTCCCCACCGTTGAGAAGTTTAATGATTCAATTTCATCAACGCTAGCATCAAAACAAACCATTCAAACCGTGTTCGCGATGGCTTCGAGATCAGACCCAAATATTCCGTTGCTCAAGACGTGCCAGACGTGTTTTCATGCCAAGATTCGATGCGAGAAATCACAGGAGTCTGGAAAATGCGACAGGTGTTTGCGCCTGAACAAGACATGTGTTTTTAATCCTTCTCGGCGACGAAAGGCTCTGAGGCCCGGGTGAGACACTTGTACTTTGTGATTTGCAAGCACTAATTTGATTCAGGCCGTCAAGAAATCTCGAAGCTGCGAGCCCTACAAGATCAAGATCTCCATCTTTGACCTCGGCCAATGCGACTTCAGTAAATGTGACGGATACTTCACCTGGTGTGTCCACGACACCAGCCAGCATTGATACCGAAGCATCCCACAACCCGTTCTCCAAGGGGTTGCTGTCATTCGAGAAAGGACAAGAGTTTCTCGATACCTTCAGAACGCGCATGTCGCCTCATTTTCCGTTCGTGATAGTTGCAGAGTCGGTAACCATTCAGGGGTTGGTTCAGGACAGACCGACGTTGTGTGTTGCGATACTTGCGGCAGCTTCACACGAGGATCTCAAGCTTCAGCAAAAATTAGGCAAGCTCTTCAACGAAATTGTACTTGTCAGGATGATAAAAGGGCCTTTTGCAACTTTGGATATGCTGCAAGGGCTCTTGGTGCATTTGGCTTGGTGAGTACTACGTCTTCTCAAAATTCGTCGCTAATGATTCAGGGCGCATTTTCACCAAGGAACAATGAAGTACACTCAGCATCTGTCACTTGCAGCAAGCATCATCTCAGATATGAGACTTGATCGACCGAGAGTTGCAAGTCTGTGGGCTCTGAGTCGGGAGAGCAAGCATGGGTCTGGTGAAATGACGCATGACGAGATGAGAGCTCTGGCCGGGACTTATTATCTATCCTCGAGGTATGTCGTACAACAGCCCCCAAATCAAATCTAACAAGCTATAGTTCGGCTGTATTGTTGCAAAAGTCGCACCACTTTCGATATTCTCCATTCATCCTCGAATGCTGTCACAACCTCTTATCCGGGGGGACTGCTCCTTCTGACAGACATCTTCCATACATCATATACCTTCAAAAGCTTACTGAAGAGGTTGACGATGCAGTCATTGAAGCCACAGGAGCAATACGAGGGGCAAGGCAAGATAAGTTGCCTGCCGAGTTACATAGAATCAGAGAGCGATATACGTCGACAAAATCATCCTTGCCATTTCCGCTCAGTGAGAGTCGTAAGTGTCTCTCCCCACCAAAGCCGAAATCTTAACTGACACGCCTAGCCACAATTCTTCTGCAGTTGCACGTCCTCGACCTCCTTATCTGCCAGCCCTCACCGGATGGCATCTCATATGGCCCAAACGGTTTCCAAAGTCTTCAGCAAGGGGCAGACCAAAGCCGTCTGCTCGACTGGCTCTCACAAAGTATGTCTGCTGCAAAGTCCCTCATAAGCGTCATTCTCCTCCTCCCACAAGGCGACGAAGACACGATGCCCAACATCGGCTGGATCATGCTATACTGCGCAGTTTCTCTGTCAGTACGACTAGACCTTGTAGCAGCACAACCCGAAAACGCACAAACTGCCGGCCATCTTCGACGTATTCTCGACATGCCTCACACCCTTCGTCAAATCGTCCTCCGCATGGAATCAGCTTCAAACTCGAATCCAGGGGACGGTGAATCAGATCCATACTTTGGTCTTGCGAGAAGAGCTCGGCGTATTGAGAGGTGGTATCTTGAGCGATGCGGCCCTGTCGAATCACCTGAAGTCGGGAGCCTTTTCGGATCTACCGAGACATCCCCTTCAAACCCATTCACCGGAGATATTGGACTTACCCCATCGTCTTTTCCAGATCCGGGCTTGGTACCGAGTCTTCATATAACAGGTGAATCGGATGATACGTGGATGACCAACATATTGGCAGACCTCGAGGTTGATCCGGGGATGGAAAGCCTGCTGTTCACTGGACCTTTTGACTTTCTAGGCGAGCGTCAACAATAGCGTGGAGGAATGGCTTTATATACTTCTGTACGGATACGGATAAGGAGAAGCGTCGGAGTTGGTGATAGCAATAAACTCATGCCCGTTGGATCTTTCATTTGTGTTACATATTACATACCGTATACCGCCGGACCAATACCCAAACTCCGTCTATGTTCTATGGTCATGTACATCGTTGACTATTTTTTACCCTTCTTTCCCGCAGCCTTTTTGTGCTTCTCTTTGCCTTTCTTGATGGCGTCGACGAGCTCCTCGATCTCGGCCTCCTTTTCCTTTTCAGTCTTTTCCTTGGCATTCTTCTCATCAGCAGCCTTTTGGGCAGCTCTCTTTTTGGCCTGGATCTTCTCGACCTTTTCAATTAGAGCATCGCTCTCTTGCCACAACTTCTTGGCGACTTCTTCATCCTTGACTTCCTTGCGCGCAAAGTCGACCTCCATACACTCCTTGATGAGCTTTCCACCAGGACCTCGAGCAAAATCTCCGTCCATGGCAGTGTAGAGAATGGATTGGGCTGCCATGTGAGGAGATTTGAGGAGGAACCAGGGAACCAAGTAGCCAGCGAGGTAGATTGCAAGTCCCCAGAGAGATCCACGCGTCAACCAGCGACGGGTGCTGGGGGTTCGAGCAAGACCAGGGTCCACAAATACTACTCGGGTGTTGTTGGGAGCCTTGTCGGGACGTTCGTAGGCATCGAGATGCTTCTGGAATGCCTGACCAAAGACGTTCATGGCGAGTTTGCTGCGAGCATATGCGGTACCGGGACTCCAGTTGGCGGTTGAGACAGGCTCCTTAAGGGAGGGTGATCCAATGTAGGATGAACAGGTAGGAATAATAACTCGAACATCTCGATCGATGGGCTGCGCACGAAGAGCCGGGCTTAGAATACCGAGTAAATGGAAATTAGCCAAAAAGTTGACCATCCACGTCTCCTCAATACCCTCCTCCGACTCCTTTCTCTTTCCACCAGGAGGTGTCATGGTGGCAGCGCACAGAATAATCATATCCAACCGTCGAGGCGGGGCATTATCAATCCACTTGGTCGCAAACGTCCGAATACTGTAAAAATCCGACAAATCGACTTGTTCCGTGTATATCATCTGGTTATTCGTCTTCTGTCGCAGATCCTGGATATACTCGACGAGGAAGGGATCCGACGGAGGCGCCTGAGATAGCAGAACCAGCTGCGCGCCCTGAGCTGCGAGTCCGAGAGCCGTTTGGGCGCCTATGCCGGACGTTCCGCCGGTCATCATGACGACTTTGCCATGGAGGAGGCGTGGGCTGGGATTCTTGCGGCCGGAAGTCCAGATTTTGAGGAGGGTAAGGAAGGTGAGGGTGAGGATGGTGTAGATTATTGTGCGGCTGTGCTGCCGGACTTGTTCGGGAATGCCATTTTCGAGGATGCCGAGGAAGAGAACGAGAGGCATGGCGATGAGTTGATGCGGTGTTGTTCAGCGCATGTTGAAGGATTGCTGCGCTAGGTAGACATGCTGGGATTTGGTGTCGTGGCCCTCTAAAGATCTTCACGTGATCCACCTGTACTTGCCATGAGCATCAACTTCCAGATCATCATCTCGACAACTTGGACGTCGACAAATAAAATATTAATTGACTATCTGGGTCTTTATCCGTTACCATGATTAATCTCGGTATCTGTCATCTTTCTTCTTTCTCACCCAAATCTCGCCAACTGGATCACCATGATCAGCTACACACTCCCAATCACCAGTACCGTGCTGAGCAGAGGCCTTTCTAACACCCCTACCACCGCCGCCAATGATGAGGTTTCCAGGCCGATAATTTTCATCAAGCTTCATACGGCGAATTACACTTCCATGGACTCGTACTGTATCAGGCACATCTCGAACTTCACCCCCAGGTAGAGGCCAGCGGATTGGCTTCCATGATCCGTCGGACTGAAGATCCATTCTACGGAAAGGCATGTACTCCATGATTTTCCAGGCTGTTACGGCGAAGGGACCGAGGCCTTGGCCGTATTCGAGGGAGTCGTGGATTCGAGCTGTGCATGCCCCGTGCATTATGTCGTGGAAATCGTTCTTGGGATGGTCTTCTTTTTCGTCCATTGGCATGTCGGGGGCACGACCTGGACCTCCACTACCGCTTGAGACTCGAAGATCAGGAATTGGAGGTCGCCCTGTAGCTTCTTGCCAATCATGAGCAGCACAGCATCCCATCTCTGCGACCTTTTCGTCGTCAAACGTGAGACCGGCTTTCTGAGCTTCTCTCACGATCCAGGCAAGGGGAATGTGACTGGTGCTTTTGCTGCCTTCAAGCATTTCCCAGCCTCCGCCAACATCAGCGTGACCGCCAGAGAACCAGACTTCGTCAATATCTTGAGCGGCATCGTCGTCAATGTTGTTGATCTCATCGAGTGCCAGACCGGAGAGGTTGGAGAAATTGTCTGGGTCTCCGCATTGGCTTGGTCTTCTGCACGATCTTGAGCGAGCTCGGTATGGCGCATATGCGTTGCCTTTCTTCTTCTTTCGACCACCTCTCTTGTCATTAGGAGATAGATGATCGCCTTTTCTGCCTCGATCATCGTGTCCGTTGAGTTCCTCGCGGATGTCATTGATTGCCTTATGAAAGTGATGGCCTTTGTCGTCCTTCTGCTTAGGTCGATCTTGATACATGAGATCCTGACGAAACTTGGCTCGTCTCTCGTCGATACTGACGGCATGGCGAATTACTCTGGCGCTGCTTCGTGCGGTGTACGGAAACTTGCTGCGTTGCATCCAGGCTGTCTCAAACCTTGGAACAGAATTGACTGTGTCAAATAGCCCAAGGAAACGGATACGACCAACTGGACGTGAGAATGTTTCTCGAAAACCCTTCATGAACTGAAACATTTCGTCTCTCTTCTTCTTTGCAGCCTCGGTCTCCTTGCTTGGTGGTTTGTCGCAGTCTTCCTCGTCTTCAGGAATTTGCTCACGACCTTGCCATTGAGCGAACGCCTTCCAAGCGAACTTGACCATCTCTTCATTGCCGTGCGACAAGAGTCCGATGTAATCGAGCATCTCGGCTAGGAAGCGTGCAATATATGCTCCCCGACTGAAACCAAACATATAAATCTCATCGCCGGGGTTATAAAATCGCATGAGGAATCGATAGCCTCCTACGACATGCTGGTCGAACGAAGAGCCAATTGCCGAGTCTTTGGCTTTTTGATACCAAGAGCCAAAGCGAGCCCGAATACCGGTATGAGTAAGTGATCCTGAGACGACATATGTTCCGATGCCCGCTGGATTACGTGAGTTGACTGTGATTGCGACGAACGGATCACTTACGTTGGTAGTAATGATATTGGTCGTCAGCTTGACGGTCAAGCATTCGAAAGATCTTGAGAATGTTGCTGTCACTATCGTCACCGTGGAACTTGTTCCCTGTTCCATCGAAACAGAGAACAAGCTTTCGAGGCTTTCGCCCATATCCGATACCTGCGTCAGGTCCCATTCCCGGAGTTGAAGGTCTGCTCTGAAAATCCCGAGATGATTCAGGATGGCCTTTGACAGACTCATTCAGAGAATTCGGGGCGAGATGACTGTAGTCCATTGTAGCACACTCTCACACGGTGACACCAGGCGGAGGTTTGCAACATCGCACAAGGTGGTCACGAATGCAGTCGAGTGCAGCTGGGGAGCAGCCTCTTATGTTGGATATGACCACTAGCCCGGAGTGTCTCAAATCTCATCGAACTGAACCATGTTTCGGTCAAAGATCAGCCAAGCGGTAATCTGTACACAATACAATAATTCCGCCATGCATCCCCGGAGCTACCTGCGGCGGTACAAGACACGATACGACGGTGGCTCAATGTCTTAGATGGCGGCGCCAGCGAACAGGTAGTGGGTGTTTCCAGGCTGACTATTTGATCTCTCCCGTCGATCTCACCCATGGCGATACCCTCTAAAGGGGCCGCTTGTGTCTGACTGGCTTATGCATTCAGCCCAAGACATTTGAGGAGCTCAACAAGAGAGCATCGTCGAACCAAGATGGTGCTTTCACCGTGCCAACTCCACTAGGTCATCCTTGCAGCTGGGGCTGCACCTCTCACCAACCAGAATTCGCTGATCGTCATCAATTGCCGATAGCTGTGAAGTGCGTTTTCCACTATCTCATTTTGGGAGACATACAGATTGCCCGCGTCGAGCTGAGAACCCTCTTTGGGAGATTTGTGTGATGATCTATTAGATGTGGCTGCCCGAGAGATTTTTTTGCTGTCGATCGATATCCCTGGTTCTTCTTGGTGAGAGTCTGAGCGCATGCCAATCGGAGAATGAATTGCTCCAGCGCGGAAGCTATCAGCCCGCTATTAAGGGCCGTCCCTAGGATGGCCTGGACGGAAATGCGCAAACATGCCCGAGAATTGGTGAATTGATAATGATTTGGAAGCTGAGACACTAACAAGCCATCGACGTTGGTGGCAGTCCAAGTCTGAACAATCAGCAATAATCCGCTGTGCGAAGATCAATTGCTCTGTTCATTCTTCAAAGAATACTCGCAGTGAGCCTACAGCTTACTATCCTTCCAAACAGCATTTCTCTTCTCGACAAAACTCAAGACACCCTCCTTCATATTATCACCACCTTCCATACCCTTATAAATCCCCCCATCAATCCTGTTTGTGCTATCCCTCGGCCCCTCAGCTTCCCACCCTCCCAAAAGACCCTCGCGCGACACAATAATCGAGTCGGGCGAATTACCTGACATCTCGACAGCCCACTTCAACGCCTCTTGAACAACATCCTCCAGCTTGACAACCTTGTTCACAATACCCCAGTCAAAGAACTGCTGTGCGCTGTACATGCGTCCCAAAAGCGCTACTTCTGATGCCCGTTGTCGTCCTACCGTTCTGATAAGACGCGGTAGGGCACCAGCAATAGCGACGACGCCGCGCTTCACCTCTGGAAGACCAAACTTGGCGGTTTCGCTGGCGATGACCATGTCGACGTTGATTGCCATCTCCATTCCACCGCCGAGACAGAGACCATTGACAGCTGCGATAATGGGCTTCTTTCCGTGGCGGTTACTCAAGCCTCCGAAGCCGTTCTCTGCCCACCTCTCAACGTCTTTCACATTGCCCTCTGAATTCTTGACGTTCCACTCTTTGAGATCTGCGCCAGCGCAGAATGCACGTCCGGTGCCCGTCAAGATCGCGCAGCGCAGCGACGGCTCGTTGTCGTACCATCTCCAAAGACGGTCGAGATCAATGCTCATTTGGCGCTGGAGGGCATTGAGATGTTCAGGTCGGTTGAGGGTGACGAGAACGACGTGAGGATGGGGAAATGAGACGTTGGTGTGAGGCACCTTTGGGGGATTGAGTGACTTTGACATGATGATTATTCTTACTGTGATTGATGTAATTTCTGATGTTGAAACAGTCTAAACGATTGATAATCTGGAGCTTGACCTCTTATTTACATCACTACCACGGATACAAGCTCCAGGGCCACGGTAAGCTCAGTGTGGGGAACCTCGGCACCTCGGAAGCTCCTCCAACAATGGCAACGCGCCGACGATCCCCCTCATTAACACCAGGGACAGAGACAGAGACAGAGACATTGGTAAGAGTAAGTGACTGTAGACTCAATTGTATATTCCCACAGCTCTCAAAACGCCCTCACCTAGTTCATTGGTATTGCAACCCTTCGAATTATAATAATAGTACATTTTTAGCATCCCCTCATCACGCCGGTAGTCCACGCTTCTCGCTCTCAGTGAAAAAGATCACCATACGCCAGAGCTTCTTGACAAGATCCTCCGCCTCATCATCGAGTGCCTGTGAAACCTCAGTTAGTAATTTAATCATAAGACATAAGCTGGGGGGAAACGTACTCCTTCTAGCTCTTCCACTAGAGCGGCTGCTGTACCGTGGGCGCGAAGATGTTCCTCCACTGCCTCGACGAGCATCTCCTCTTGTACACCGAGATACTCGACAATCTTCTTCTCCACGAATGGTCGAAGCTTGTCCTTCACCACTGCATCATCCATAAACTCCCACTTGACTTGCCATCCCCACAGGCCATCCTTGTCCGATGGGATCTCCTGGGCCAGGGATCGAACAGCCTGTGAGATTTCCTCCTCTGTCATATGCGCCGTAGCAGAAGATGGCTCGAACTGGATAGGTACCAGTTGTCGCTTTGTAGACGTATCTGCTTCCTCGTCGTCCAAGAGACCCTCCACCTCTGCGATTGTGCGCCGTTGTGGTGCTGCCCTGGATGCCTGAGCCTTCTGAGCTGCGGCTCCGAGGGATAGCTTGAACGGCTGCGGTGCAGCGGCGGGTGCTTGTCGCTGGTCCATCTCTTCGGCTTGCTTATCGAGGAACGAGTCGGCCATACCGCGTGCTCGCTCCATCTCAGCCTTTTCACGACGCTGTTCATCGTGCTCTGCCCTTCTGTCTGCTTCATCTCGTGCCTCCTCATCTGCACGGTCAGCAGCTCTCTTGCGAGCCCAGCCGCTGTGATCGCGGTAGTAAGGGTGTGTCTTGCGACTTGCTTCTTTCTCATCATCCCATGCCTTTTCCCGCTCAAGCTGCTCCTGCTTTCGTTGTTCGAATGACTCTGCATCTTGACGCTCTCGCTCGCGCTCTCGATCTATTGCTGCTTGTCTTGATCGTTCTCTGTTGCTCCATTTGCGCTCAGCTTCAAGATATGCTTTCTCATCCTCATCATCCTTCTTGGACTTGTAGCGTCGGTACAGTTCTCCATCGCTAGCATCTGTGTCGTCATCTTCTTGGTGAATAGAAAGGTCTGTATTAGAAATACCTCCATTCACAAAGGCAACTCGCTGTCCATTCTGTCCCTTAGGCCCTGATGGTGCATTTGCTATGCTGCCTCTTGGGCCAAGAGGAATGTTGTTGGTAGCTGGTGGTGAATCGAGTCGAGAGTGTCGGGCTGGTCCATTCCGTCGTCGCTCCATCTCCTCCATCTCTTCTTCCTTTCTCAATCGCTCCAGATCTCGTTGGTTGCTGCGTTCTCGGAAAGCAGCAATCTCCTGTGCCACAACTTCCCTCATCTCAGCTGGAATATCTGCGAGTTCGTCCTCTTGAGCCAAAGGGATATTCACAACTTCAACATTCTCGCCAGACTCGGTGTTGCCCATTGTGACATCCTCATTTGTTGTGTTGGTCTTGGGGTAGAACAAATCGTGAACAACATCCTTGAGCGCTGACTTGGCCGCCTCGAGCTTCTCCGATCCGATTGCACCATCTTGACTCTCTTCGTAGGACTCCAGGTACTTGAGCGAACTCTCATCGACCATAACTTTGAGCTTCGTCTTGTCGATACCCTCGTACGCATCGTCTTTTGGTGCATCCGCGGCTACTGGTTGTCGCTTGACGGGGACTTCGACCTGTTGCTCGTGGAGAAGTTTGACTGCAGTACTCAGCGACCAAGGGTCCTCAAAGAGAGCGAAACCAAACTTAACGCCTTTATGGTCTTCTGTGACACTGGCTTCAGGATCCCACTTTCGCAGCTTGCCACAAGCACCCAGAAGTCGTAGGATCCCTTCGTCGCCCCCCAAGCCTTCGGGAATCTCGTTTATGAAGATCGTTCGGAGCTTCTCCTCGTTCGTCGGAGGAACAAGTACCTGTGTTACTTCCCTGGCGCCTCGATCTCGATCGCCTCCTCGGTCCATACCTAAGCCAGGTCGTCCACCGCTAGGCATAGGCATATCACGACCGCCCGCTGTGGGGGTACCGGGTTTACCCTGCTGCGATGTACCGAGTCGGATCACGGGGGCGTTGAAGTTGATGTTGGGCATGTTGGCAGGCGCTTGGAAGTTGGGTGGAAGGCCGCTTGGACGATTAGCTTGCTGGGCGCTAGACTGCTGGACACCTGGAGGTGCCATTCCCGGAGCAGAAGACATGCCTGGAGGAGGTCCTGGAGACATGTTAGACGGGTAGTGAGGGTATTGCAGAGCATGCGCACCTAGACCAGGTGGAGGAGCCATTCCTGGAGGGGCATTGTTTGATCCGGGATATCCTCCATACGCAGGAGGCGCGCCGTAAGGATTGTCTACTCAAGTTAGCTCTGTTGATACTGATTCAAGGGAAACATACTGCCATAAGGATTATACGCCATAGTGGCGCCGTCGCGTGCAAGCGCGGAAAAGAGGGGATGAGTATGGTCGCGTAAGACTTTTGAGTAAACTATTCACGTCAAGATAACGATGGAATTGTTTTCAGATGTTGTTTCGCGATTCTTTATGCAGGCGCAAACCGTGTTGAGGCATCGAGGCACGAGGCTGAAATGTTTCAATGTGGGGCCGGTTTTCGGTCCACAATCCCGCCTTCTTTCGCACCTACATTTTTCCGAATATCGCGACTTTTCTGCTTCACCTGTTCTGGGACAGCTATTGACGACGGCCATTGGCGGTTAGCTATATCGACAAGATGTAAGTCAATTGGCATTGTAATTTTGAATTGGATGCTGACAGATTTAGGGCCACCTCCTTCAGAATTGGCAGCTCGGTGCTGTCGAGAGTAGCTACACCTTCAACATGCCTCGCCAAGAGGACATTCACAACCTCACTTGCCTTCCGAGCAGGCCCTAAGATTCCTACAGATGATGAGGCACCTCCAGCCGTCGCTCCTCTAGTTCGATCGAACCCTCTAGTCGGCAGTATTCCTCCTTCACCACCTCCCGCCAGCTCTGTCACCGAATCTTCCACCGAATCAAAGCCCAGCCACGCCTATGATGCATCGAAACCCTTCAGTCTGGACATTGCATCCATCATTGCCAACAAATCCAGTGCATACGGCGCTGAAATTGACTCGGATCCAATTGCTCGACCTCAAATCCGCGCCAAGGCAGTCACTGGTCGCACAGTCTTCATCAAGGACCGAGTAACCAAGACAACTGGTCCCACACCCATGGTCGCTCTTCGAGTTCTCAACAGAATCATCCGAGAGGACCAAGTCAAGAACAAATACCACAGCCAAAAGTTCCACGAGCGCAAGGGACTGAAGAAGAAGAGACTAAGGAGTCAGCGATGGCGATCACGATTCAAGCATGGTTTCAAGGCGACTGTTAGCAGAGTTCTGGAACTTAAGAAGCAGGGCTGGTAGAGTGTAAAAGCGCGGTGTACATTATATGAGAGCATGTAAACTATGATTAAGGAGAATTCATTATCGTGACTACATATATTCGTCGTCATCCCAATCCTTGGTCGGACTTGGCAGAGGGCTGGCCTTGATCTTGGGTCGTGATCTGAAGACTGCCTCCATATCCTCTTGAGCCATGAGTTCATCGGTAATTATGGTCATGTCTTCTTCTTCCACCTTGGGAAAATAACTTCCCTCCTTCTTAGGGGGTGCCTTCGTCTTTCGCAAAGAGCGTCGCCTGTCCAACTGGGCCTTTTGTCTCGCCTTGTCGAAACCAGCCATGCTCTTCCGGGTCCGAGCAATGAGATCAAATTCTTCGTCAACTGATGTTTGACTGGGATCCTCTGCAGAGACAGGTTCTGAGGACGTTGGTGGGGATATATCAATGTCTTCATTATCGGGGTCGAATGCTCCACGTGCCATGGTCAGGCGAGTTCGTTCAGCGAGTGAAAGAGTGTGTCGAGGTTTGGGTCGTCGTTTGACGGGAGAAGGAGAGGCCATATCCATAGATTCGAGGATCTGGTCTGCCATTTCTTGGGTGGGGGAAGGCCGCGCCGGCATCAATTCTGGAGATTCTTGTAGTGGCAGAGGCGACGGAGGAGGAGACGGTTGAGGCGATATATGAGGTGACAGCTGAGGTGAGACATCGTACTCAGGTCGTGGAGAAGCCGCAACAGGTTCATCTTCAGGTTCGGGCGAGCTAGTCCGTTCAACTGATGACGCACGAAGAATACGAGCTTCGTCCTCAGATGGCTTGCGCAAGTTTCTGGCGCGCGAAGAGACTGAAACAAAAGAGCCATCCGTATGGGCCAGCTTAGGGCGCACCGGAAGCCTTCTTGACTTGTCGAGCTTCGACTTGAAAGACTGAATCGGAGTTTCAGCAAACCCATCCTCGTCTTCGAGTTCGCTGATCGCCCCCTCCTCTTCCTCTTGTGGTTCGGGGGCCGGGGCATTGATGGCTGGTGTATTCTGAGAAGAAGGGCGCTGTAAAAAGTCAAGAGCTGAAGACTTTTGAGGTTTTGTGCTCTGCAACTCGTGGCTCAGATTGGACACAAGATCCTCATACTCCTTGAGGAGCTTCGGTTTGCCGAAAGTCGCCTTTTTAGGGCTAGCACTTCCAAGATGAAGTGCCTCGTGGGCACCAAATCCAAAATCGATGCCGTTCTCTTTCTCCTTTTGCTTGACCTTGGATGGGGATGGTTTGGGTTGATCAGCGGACAGTCTGTTGCGGAAGGTTTGCCACTTTTGAAGTCGTTCCCTCTGTACACGTACTCGAGTGTCGAGCTGTTCCAGGAGGCCTGTTGAATGCTCCTCAAGTTCTCCGAGACGGCCTTGCTGGACTCTTCTCCACACGCGATCAAAGGGCATACCCAGAAGTCCATCCTTCTTAACGCTGGCGTCTCCGTAGAGTAGCGTCTCCATCCATCGCTCATTGCCAGACCAGTTATTTCGAAGTGTCCGCCACATTTCCCGTCTAGCATCTTCAGAGATCGTCTTGCCTCCCTCCAGGGCATCAAGTGCCTCTTTTCTCCTGGCAATGCCCTTCTCCTTGACATTTAAAAGATCGGCAAAGTCACGGAACCTTGAGCTTGCGGCTACCTTGCTGTTGAGAATGCGACTGATGGCAACTTTGTGTGCCAAAACCATAGTGTTCAGATCTGTGTTGTCGCTCTGGTACCCGCGGTCCTCAAGCGCAAGTCCGAGCGCAAGTGCTGTATGTTCACCGCTTGTTGCGACCTCTTGAGCAATAACATGTTTGAGAACAGCAGATGAAAATGCTGCGAGAACTTCCTCGAGTCGTTCGCCTCGACATTCGTCCAGCATTGTCTTTCGTACAATAGCATCTCGTCCGAGGATACCATTCTTCTTTGCTTGCTCGAGAGCTCGTAGTAGGGCGGCTCGTAGGTTGACCGATTGTGTTTGGTCAAGAGGAGGGAAGAACGGTTTTAGTTTCTACAAATGTCAGCTTGATTGTCGCATTTAGTTTGTTGTCTTACTTTTTTTGTTTCATCGGGATCCCATAGCGCAAAGAGCTGGAAGAGCGCCCATTCAACGCAGTGAACTCTCTTCTTCAGGCCCTGCGCACTAGAACCGCCGCTCGCAAATGTTTGGGCCTTGATACCAGGCCAATCCTCGTGTTGATCGAGGTCCAAAAGATTCAGGTTGGTCAAAAAAATCGACAGAGCTGGAGGTCCATGGTGAACATGAGGACTTGGCGCCGTCGCTGGTGCTTGCTGAGTAGATTTGTTGGTAAAGCCGGCCACTAAGCGGGCAGACCGCGTACGAGGCTGAACTGCAGCCATGGTGGCATGTTGAAAGAGAGTGTTTCGAGAGTGAAAGTGCCGTTTATGTAGTTTTTTCGGCAGATATGCTGGTACCACCTTGAAAAGGCGGAGTGTAAATAAGGTAAGGCTGATGGTAGAGTAAACAAATCGGAAGACGGCAGAGTTGGTGGAGGTGGAGGTGGAGGGGCTCAACGGCAACGGAGCCCTGTCCTGACGGTTTGTGGGGCCGGCGCTACCCTGCACCGAGCGACGACCTCACCCGTGAAGTTCACTGTGGTAAACCCAACGGGTCAAACCTTTTGAAGATGACCTGGAAATGAGGAGTGGCTTCCATTCTGGCCATCAGGACCTGCTTACATCCTGCTCCATGGAGTGGACATTCTGGAACAGCACGGACTTCAGTGAGCCCTAAAGTTCCCTTGTCGCAAACCTCCTGGAAACAGTACCATTTCCCGACCTTGGCCAGGAAGACAAAATCCAACAAGTGGTCGACATGTTCTTTGTTCCCAGAAGCGATCAGTGGCTGGAACTGCTCCATAACTTGAGCATGACTCATGATCGGTATTGTGATCCTGTACTTGTGTTTCTCGATCATCTCGATGACGTTTTGTTGCCAAGTTTCTTCTTCTGTTGTTTGAGTAGGAGCCAGCTGCAACGATGCTATCTCTGCTTTTGCTTGCTCGAACGCATTCTCGAGGCTTCTATATTCAGCCAGTCCACCAACCACCGCACCGAAAGATGGATTGACAGTCTTTTTAAATGACTCCATGCACTCATCCACTCTGTCGAGTCTCTCTGCCAGTGCTTTTGTCTTCTTCTTAAAGGCTTCGTGCTCCTCCTCAAGGCTCTTCCTCAAGGTGTGTTTTTCATCCTCTGGCACACCGTCCTCGTCGATCCTTCGACGTTTACCGGTGTGCTCGAGGCCCTCGCCGAGCTCTTGTGTGGAGGACATGACTGTGTCGTCAGTGATACTGAGAGTCTGTGTTGTTACTCCGATGGCGATAGGCGGGGGGAAAATGAGGTGAGAGGTTGATGACTGGTACAAAAAATGAGGCGACAGGTTTTGTGTGAATCACAGATTGGCAAGCCGATGGAGGGGTGAGGTGACTGCCGCCTACCAAGGCCATGACACTGTTAACGGCTGCCAAGTGGATTCACTGTCAGTGAAGCAAAGACGGGCCAACAGGCCCAACCTCCGTGGAATTAAGGTGAAAATTTGTCGTGAAATTTCTGTATTTGGTATTAGCATAAATCTCTGCTTTGGCACGGAGACTTTGCAAGGCTCGACGTGATGTGAACTGTGTCGCATCGGTACCTAATGCTCAGCTGCCTAAGGTTACTTTGGGTTAACGATGCATATTTGCTACAATATGTTGATTTATCGTCATCTTCCTCAGAATGATCGATGCGCTATAACAAGTTTGATTGAGACTTGCTCGCCTTTGAGTTTCAACCCCTGAACTGGATCATCTGGATGCTCCATTCTTGTCTATCCGGGGTTAGAGGTTTTGTCACCTTCGTCACGAAATCTTCACCTACACAACATTGTATCACTCTAGAATTTTATTTCAACGTGTATGAAACGTCCCTTGTATTGTATTCCTTAATAATTTACCTTGAGAATTCCTTGTTCCATCATATCCCCACCTGCGTACCTAGCCCTCGAAAGAAAACAAACAAGAACTCCCAATAAATATCGACAAAGGAATATGATAGACGTAGCTATGATTAGACTTACCTTTTTGCTTTTTGCTTTCCGGTTCATATCTCTCCGTGATCAAGCTGGATCTGATGGAGGTTAGTCAAATAACCAGCAGCACCACAAACCTCTCAACTTCACACCCATCAGACGAAAGTGTATCTCACCTCCGCCGAATCAAGCTGAGCCTCGTTGAAGTAGGGGCCATTGTCATCCTCATCCTCTTCCTCCTGCGTAACAACCATTACTTCATCAGGGTCGGAGTCTTCCTCAATCTCTTCCTGCTGCACAACGAACACAATTTGACCAAGATAGGAGTCATCCCCAGCCCCAAAGCCCTCGTCCGCATGGGTAAACACAGGCACGTACTCTGCATATCCGTAGGGAAAGTGACTCATTGGTTCTTCCTCCTCGGGAATGGTCGGGAGTCTTCGAGCTATCTCCTCGATCTCAACATCATCACCCTGAAAAGTATAGTCCTCGAGCGAATATTCGTGATCATGGGGGGCGTCAGTGGAGCTGAAGTAGAGGTCAGAGCAACAACCGCAGTCCATGACATGGTCCACGTCCATCTCATCATCAGATGGTGTATCGTTACCATCATCAATCTCAGGACAAGGCTCCTCGAGCTGAACATCGTCAGACTCATCCTCTTCAATTTGACCCTGCTCATACTCGTCAAAACCACGCTTTCGAATTCCCCAATAGGTGTCTTCCATGTTAGAAAGCCTTCGAGGGGCATCTCCATACGCGTTAGAGACATTGTCACCCTCCAATGAGCCACCAGTGTCGGAACTCTCTTTACTCGACTCCTCAAAACAAGAATCCGAGACGTCAGCCTCATTGACATCCTCACGCCAACAGCTGCTGAAACCCTCAAAGTCCTCGGCAGGGAGAAACGGATACTCAAAGGTGAACTCATGAAACGAGCCCTGGCACACACCGGCCTCACCCATCTCAATATCGCGGTTACCAACAAACCTGTATCCAGGAAGGTAGCCGTTCAATTCCGACAGTGTCTTCGAATCTCGTCGAGGGGCAGGGGCAGGTGAAAGACGGCCATACACAAAGTTCTCGTCCAAGTCCTCCTCCTCAACATCGTAGATACCATGATTCTCAACACCTTGCGTTCGGTTCATTTTGATGTCTTGATTCTCGGAAAAGCGTGTGCCCGAATAATAGTGATCCCACTCGACAGGGGATGTGACAGCCCGGGTCTTGGGAGATCCGGGGGTGGCTTTAGGAAAGGAGACTGTGATAGTAGGTACAGCCATCCTGGAAAGAGAGTTTGAAGATGAGAAACGGTCTAAAGGTCGGAATTATTTTTGTAGTGATATTAAAGCGCTGCTTGTTTGAGGAGAGACTGGTGTTGTTGACTGAGGGTGTCGAATTGTGCGGATAAGGGAGTGGCTCTGATCTGGGCTCGCTGTGAGATTTATATACATACATGCGAGATACAGTAACGCTAGCAACCAAATTCAACAGTAGGATACTTTGTTAGTATATTGTTCCAGGGAGCAGCTACATGTTCAGTACTCACTTCAACCGACAAAGGCGGATTTATCGCGACCCTGAAAGAAACCGGGTGTTCATCCGACCACAACTTCTGAACATGGAATGCTATTCAATAAATCTCTCGGGCAATAATTGGAAGAAAAGAAGTAAGAATGATCACGTAAGCCTGGAAGACATTGGTACTCATCATGTTCAGCCTCTGGGCTGATTGTCACGCTGAACATTGCTGCTGTTCAATCTGGGGCCACGATCATGCGGCAGATGGCCTAGTGACTGGCTGAAACTATGTCAATATCGAAGCCATGAATACGGGTGTGACATTGTGAGTCTCGATTCCAAGATTTTGGGCCGTCATATCACCTAGAGCATTGCGTTTCAACATGGTAGAAAGAATGAGACAGTCGACCATGGCTTGTCTGGTGCCGCTCGCTCTATTCAATAGTATGAGTATGTACATGAAAGAATCAAACTTCTGACCTTGATGACTGGTCTCAGTGTGGTCTAAAGGCCTGCCAAGTTTATGCAAAGATTGCCTCAGGCTGTCCACGAATTAGGCAAACAGATTACCTTCCAAGTTATTTGAGGTCGAAGTGGGATGGAAGGGGTGATAACGAGACAACTGACCCATCGGCCATCACCCAGTCCATCGCACCTCCCCCGTTCCGCGCATCTATATCCATCGCATTTTGTTCATGATCTCGGCACTTCCGTTCTACATTCTCCATTCTCCGTTCTTCAGACTTCAGACTTCAGAATTCAGACTTTGCTCTTCACAACTCATCGACATCAATACATCAACATCACATGCTTCTACAACATCACATCCCTCCACCATCATGCCATCAGATTCAGAAAACTCAGGTTCAGAGATCTCAGGTGCAGAGGTCTCAGGGTCAGAGATCTCAGGTTCAGGGATCTCAGATTCGTGGCACAAGTTCGACGACGTAAGTTTGGAAGATATTTTCCTGAGTAGCGAACTGACTATTTCCAGCTCGCGGACCGTTACGACCTTCTGTCATTGTCTTGGGAAGACCTGGGCGAGCCGCCTAAGGAACCTGGGAGTCCGACAGCCGGAACAGAGGGAAAGCAAGAATCCCATGGGACCGACACTGAGGAACAACACGCCATGCCTTCCGAAGAGGCACAAGCCCAGGGCTTCTCCGATGATATAACCCAGATCCGAGCATGTGCAGTCTTTATTCAGTGCAGATGCATGCCGCATCCACCATCGGAGCCATCGAAATATTACCTTCTTCGTGTCCACCCAGATTTGAATCATTCTGTGGACTTGTTCAACGCATTCCCCAGCTTGCATGACACAGACTCTGTTGAAGAGAATGTTCGCTTTCGTCTTGATATACAACATACATTGTGGTCTGTTGCCAACAATTCATCTTACGATTCGAAACACTTTTACTGTTCTCGGGCTGTTGCTGAAGGGGTCCATGGTAATTTGGCTGCCCGCAATTCGTAGGATGCTGCGATGCAACTTCGATGCCATAGTCACCCAGTTGATAACCCAACTGATCCTTGCTTTTGCAACTGGCTCACCCAGAGGTTCAGGTCCATGCCAACTGAGGATTTTCATTCTGGAATCCTTTTAAATACGGAATTCTGCAGTGGTTGCGATCGCGTTTCGGTTGAATATGATCCCTTCAGCTGGCTTCTAGACTGAGTTTCAATGGGCAGATGCAGAGTTATCTCAATACAATGGAAGTGTTAGATTCCTAAGGTACATAAGAGGTACCTTCAAAGAATCCATAATGCGAGACCTTGAATCATAGAAGGCTCCTATTCTTAGCAAAAATCTAAACTCCTTGACCAACGTCCAGATTGTCTCCCTCACTGTCCTTCCTTTTCTCGAGTGACTCCCCTTTCAACTGGAAACAGATCCAGACACTTTCCAAGAGTCTGACCTTCAGGCTTGGGCAGGCTCCTTGTCGACTGCTTCCAATTTGGCCTTTAAGGCTTCCACCTCCTTGTCAAGAAGCATGGCCGAATCTCTCCAATGCTTCATCATAAAGGTCTTCGAATTGATGATCTCCTTGAGTTTTTTGATTTCATCGATCATTTCTTGTAAACTCTCTGGGCGTGGGCTCTTTAAGCTTTCCTCAAGATCAGAATCATCACTGGATTCGTCTACAGAGTTGTCCGTATCAGCTCTTGCTGAGCTGAAATCCTCGTCAAGGCTGGTGGGCTCGTCGTCTCTGGACCGCAAGTCTCTCTCTGGTGTCAGTAGCTGAGTTTTGGGCTCGAACTCATTTGATAGTTGTGATAGACTGCATCTTCTCAGACTAGAAACAGTCCCCTCGAGGTTGCCACGGTGCTCCATCTGTTGATTGCTGAACTTGCGTATCTTGCGCGGCGCATCGTCCTTAGAGTCGCTAGACAAGCGTCGCTTGGGCATTTTTATGTGTAGTAAATCGGGAAATGGTGAGTGTCTTTAAGTGAGGAGGGCCTAGCGTGTAGGTACGTGGTATGTATTTATGGAAGTGAGTTGCTCAGTTTCTGTGGGAAGATAGGATCGGTATTTATACATGGAGGATTCAATTCACTATCTGGAGGATCAATTCACTCGCATATCTTCTTTCATGCACGACCCCTTGGTTTGCAACTATGGACCTTTCATGGAAATGTAACGCCCATGTCTTTGAGAGCGGAAAGCAGCAGTAGCGGTGCATTGAAAGACTTGTAGCGCCCTTACCATGTAATTATCTCCGTGAAACCTCAGCTGGAGACAGAGAAGAATATTCATGAAAGGGGATATGGTGGAGAGATCGTCGGCAACCATTTCCCATGTTTGACTAGACCATTCGTGGTGGGCCGCCAACAGATTATATTTCTTTGATCTGACTATGTGCTTGCGTTTAAGCATATCACATGTCGTTACGTGGATGGAATATCCGATGGTGCTGTGCCATACGGGCATGTAGTCTCTCCTGAGATTGTTGCCAAGGCTGGCCCTGTGTTGACCATTGGCCTGAAGGACGAGAACGATAACATGATGGACCATCACCGCAGGGTCTTTGGCATCTGTAAGGCGATAATATAGTGGCATGAGCTCTGTCTCAAAAAGACAAATGACCGCTTGGTCCTCAAAGAATCCGACTTCGCTCGCGTTCTTTATCATTCGCACGCCGAAAACCCTACACAATTCAGCCATCTATTAGAATTCAACCTGGATGTACCCAACGAGAGAGCAGCCATCTGGGAACGGCTACTTCCGTCCTTTCTCTTTGATTTCTGTTGTGCGGATTTGAGACACGCTTCACGAGAGGGACTACATGCTAACCTATGATGGTGGTGGAGTGCCGGTCATGCAGATTGAAACCGCAACACAGATCCCAACAATCCATTCCGACTCTGCAAAGGGAGGCTATTCCTACCTGCTGGTCTTTGCTATGGGACCAGAGGGCGGAAACAAGCCTGGTGAGTTTCTACCTGGAACCAGCTAAGCGAAAATTGACCCTAAGCGATGGAAATGTTTAGGTAAATCTAGCCTGAGCTTAGGTTACTCTTTGCTAAGTTTATTTAGCACCCTATACTAAGGTCTGTTGTTTTACTGCTTCTTGAGGCACGTCAACCTGTTGACATGGTTCATGTCTGGTAGAAGGCAACATTCTTTCTTTTGGGTAATTTATGCCTGTCATTTGTACGAGGACTACTGTAAGAGCACAAGTAATTCTACATACCCATAAGTACATCATCGGCTGGTCCTTTTGGTCGGGAGCATCGCCAAAGAAAAAAATATCTGTGTGGACGGCACATCGGCCAATGGGAATGAACAACTATCGTCAACCTCTTTCTTCTCTGAACCATAGCGGCCATGGATTGGAGGTGTCTAGATGTCAAAGCCAGCCCGGGTTCAAACGACGAGACCAGCTATCGCTGCTACCAACTCCTGCCTCAGTAGCTGCTGTGTTGCCCGAGATGCGTCTCTGTTCCCCGGGAGGGCCCATTAAGCAGCCTGTTGATGTTGACGTTGACCTCGCCCGTAGTCTGTGAGCGGCCGACCGTAAGATGGACGGTCAGGTTGGCTCGTTCGTCAGTGGAGTGACCTTGAATTTCATCAATTTCCTGGAATCGATTGAAGACGAATTTCAGAGTATTAGCTAAGTCTCTCCTCAATACATCCCAAGTCCCCCGAGACCCAGCCGACGGATCCTCGTCTATGTTGGCTTGGGATCTTTTTCTTTTCCTGCCCCCATTCTTCTCCATTCCGTCCTCTTCGCCATTGACGCTGTTGTAGCTTGGATACCCTGTCTGGTTGGGCGCGTGGAGCCTCATGGAGAGCAAGGGCTGGGAGGGCTCGTTTCCGTGATTCCAATGATACTGTCCGGTAGAGGCAGTCTGGGGGAGATATTGTCCATTTGGATAATTTGCCCAAGATGGTGGGGGAGGTGGAGGCACAAACTGAGCAGTCGGCTGGTAATCCGTGGCATTATAAGGAAGTCGAGACGGATGACGTAGAGGCCCATGCTGAGCAGTAGACGGGTAGCCTGTGGCACTACCTGGAGTCGGAGGGGGATGCGAAGGCAGAGGATGTTGCAAATGTCCACCGCCGTGCTGACCGCCCGACTGATAACCATACTGATCTCCACGATCATTGCTTCCAGCAAGCTCGCCTCTGTCGCCATGATGGAGGCCATTTTTTGATTCTTGGTAATTCGGCTCTTGGTGATTCGGCTCTTGGTGATTCGGCTCTTGGTGATTCGGCTCTTGGAGCTTCGGCTCTTGGAGCTTCGGTTCTTGGAGCTTCGGCTCTTGGAGCTTGGACTCTTCGTGATTCGACTCTTCACCACCTGCGGTAGACTGTCGCGATGTCATTTCTAAGTGCTTCTGCTGATATTGCGAGAAAGTGGTAATGCTTGGTGTCGATATAGAGAGACGATGAAGTGATATGTTGAGTTGAAAGGAAATGCCGAAGGCTAGCCCTGTCTGCTGGCAAACAGACTCTCATCTGATATGGATCGTTGCTGACATTGGGAGGAGCTGGCATTTGGAAGGCCACTTCCAGCAGGTACAGCGGAGGGCAAGAACAATTGGCAAGGAGCATTGGACAAAGCTCAAGTTGGCAATAGGCCCCGGAGGTCTGTGTAGGAACTGATATTTGTGCAAAGAGTAGGTATCGCCCATGCTCTTATCCACGTCTGCCATGGTCTGCAACAAATTCTCATCGACAAGCGATAATATTGCCTATTTGGGATCTGACTGAACATACTGTCTGTTGCAGCGCTTGCCAACTGTGGTTGTGTTTGAAGGTAGATTAGGTAGATAGTTAGCACCTAGAGATGTGTGAGAGTTGTCAGTCGCTGCCACTTCCACTACCTTCCATCTTTGCCAGACAATCAACCACGATCAGCGCTCAGCCCCTGCCGCACAACTTTAGTCTAATCTTTCCCCTTCCAACATCCTCAACATATCATCGCTCATCGACATTCAGGAACTTCCCCCTTCCACATCAGTTGAGAAGGAAGGATGACGTCGCAGCCAGCTACTCCTAGCGCCATCGCAGTCTCCGGAGAGGATGTGAACGGTGACACAGTTGTCAGTATATGAGCACACCAGTCAGACTGGGTTAATAACCAATATTCATACAGAATCACCTTCGCCAACGCTTGCATGAGGCCGAACACACCATCACCGGGCTGAAAGCGACGCAAGATTTCGTTGTGGCCCAGAATGCGGAGCTCAAGAAAGAAAACAACCAGTTGCGGGAAGACATGGCCGTACTTCGATGCCAGAACTCACGGGCTGGTAACTCTAGCAATGAAGCCATTACAGGCGGCAGCGTAACAATGAGCCCAGAAGACTTGAAGAAGCTCCAGGGCATCCTCCAGGAAGTGAAACGACACGGCAGCGAGCTTCATCAAAAAGCCGGAGAACTTCGCGACTCCGTACTTCTCAAACAAGAGGAGTTCAGTCGAAAGCGACGCCGCACAGATTCAGACACCGACAAAAATGAAGAAGAAAGCCCGGCAACGCAATTTGTCAAATCGTGCAAACAGTACAATACCCGGACAACCCGCTGCACTGTTGCCTTTCAGGGCGCAATCAAACCCTTCATCGAAGACTTGAGTCACGCATATGAACCAAAGTCATCATTGCCTCACGAAAAGATAAGGCGAAATCTAGCAGATTTTGCTTACTCCAGAAACAAACCTGGGTGGCATTGTCTTCGACAGGTCTGTGAGAAAGGCAAGCTCTCGACTGAGGCCAAATCCTTTTCCGTTTGCGCGCTTCATGGCTCCGATTGCGAGTTTCTTATCTGGAAGCAGCAGAGCAATCCGGGCAACATCAGTTTTACAGCATTCGGGGAATTCGAAAACTCTGCTAAGTAACAAAATGGCCTAGTCCGCTCAGCGCCGAGTAGGGCAAAGGGACATAAATTCGGGTGCGACAATCATTGGGGTAATAGAGACAGCAAGGCATCTCGAGATATCACAAAAGAGTAATCGAACGATCGTTTAAGAAAATAATGTGCCTTTAGAATTTAATTAAGTATTAAAATGTTCGAATAATTGTCCCTGCACCTGCATATGGTTGTCCTCAGGGAAGCACTTTGGCCAAGCTCTGTTGAGAGAGGAGTCTCCAAACGTTAACGCCGTACATAACATTCAAAAGATGTTCATATTTATTAAAATTACACCCAAAAACAGTGTTGTGACTATGTTGCTATCAGTATGGTTCCATAGTTCCAGCTCACTTGTGCTTCTCGTCTTTTGCACCGTGAGGGTCCGTCTCAGCCATCGACCTTGTACAAAAGCTTGAGGACAATGGACTCACATGTAAGTCTCAGTGGCCGGGATTTTCCTTAAGGAAACAAACAGTCGATTATGACACTTCTAAAACAAGCTAATGGCGGTTGATCTCAGAAGAGTCTCTTTGGTGATGGATCTTCTCAAGGCCTTTGTTCATCCTTGAGGGGACTGAACCAGGTCATGACAAGGCATAAGGAAAGCTCAGATTTTCCAAAACACCATCTACGACCTGAAACTCTGATGTTTTATTCAATTTCAAATGCTATTCGCTGTGTAATAAATCGCTGTGAATAATTCCAAATCTCTCCAGCCCCTCCTGAAATTTGTCTTCCTCTATGCCCAACAACATCCATTGGCATAGGCCTAGTCGTGGAGCTCGACTCTTTTGTTTTGTCCAAGCCAGACCAATCGTCCCCAAGATTTATTTATCGGCCTTTGTTTGACAGCGTGGGCTTCGAAATCTTGAGTTGTTCTTGTGTTCTCGATGGTTGAGGCTAGGCTTTTGAGATTGTCCCAGAAATTGTTGGTTGCTCAGCTCGGGCGAATTGTTTCACAACCCATCAATTCAGATTGTCGCTCTGCGCCGGGGTTTATCCTCCAGTAATCTCCGTTTCGAAGATTGGTCGCTTAGTTGAGTGTCGTTATTTTCTGGAGTTGGTGGCTCAAGTGTTGTGGTATCTTCATCTTCATTGACAGAAATTCTATCTTCATCATCGGTATGATAACCATTGGTAGGAGAGTCACTATTTGGATCCCATCGTTTTGGGTCCCATGGAAGTAACCCCCTTTGGCTTTGGTCAGCTGTTTGTCCCAAGAGGTGAAGATGACTGTTGTACCTTAACATAAGGAGTGCTTCTTCAATATCGTCCTTCATCAAATGGTGGCCATCTGTGTTGAGTTAGCAGAAGGCCCAGACGGCTTATCTTATATTGTTACGTTTGTTGCTCGCTGTGGTAATGTGGCGCCTTTGTCTTCGTGATCTCCGATCTTTGTGGGTTCGAGACATTGTTGAATCTGGAGTTATGTTGGGCTATTCGTGGGCAGGAGGAGCTTTCTTAGGTTCTGTTCGAGTGACTCCGGTATATAGTGATTTGTAAATAATGAGTTTGATGATAAAAGGGGTTCAAAGGGATGAGTTCACGGAAGGGATGTTACCATGGTTGATTTTAAGATGGATGGAATCAAAGTCTAGGTTATATTGAGTTGAGGGCCAAAAGCTGGCTCTTATCTTTGAGAGTTTCTACGGAAGGTCCTTTGCAGCCGTTCGAAGCTACAGGCAGCTTACAATCTTGAAGAGTCACCATCCCGTCTTAGGTTCCCTCCCCGCTTGAACCCCCCTCTTCTCGATCTCCCACTTTCCTGCATCTTTTTAAGAAGTTACTTCCTCCACGGCAACCTGGAAGGTTATTCCTTCAAATGCGGATCGCGGTTCCAAACCTTCCATCCTCGTCATCGCGCTCCAACTTCAACTGGCGTGTTCTGCAACTTGCAATTACCACCATTGTGCCGGCATTCATACGCCACTTCCCTTTTACACAACCACACGAAGCGACTTTCCTGCAAGACTCACCATGTCTTCCTACTCTCACAGCAGAGAAGAGGGCCGCGACCCAAGAGGCGATAGATCACAATACTCCGGCTACGACGACGACAACGTAGCTCCTCGTAAGTGTTTACCTGCTTTGCACTTAACCTGGTTGCTCATTATCACACATAGATTGGGACCAACACGTAGATACCCCCGAATGGAATGATGAAGCCCCTTCGCGCTCTTACGCCAACGATCGAAGTCCCGCATAGGAGCAGGATTCTCGTCAAATTGAAACCTTGATGGCCGAAAATGCAGACCTTCGACGAGACCTCCACCGTACACAGAGGACCAGCCTCCAACTTCTTGACGCTCAAGAGGAATCGGCCGAGCGCATCCGTGAACTCGAAGACAACAAATACGCCCTGGAGGAAGAAGTCGCAAATATGCGTGCCCAACTTGCGTTTGCCACCGGGAACATCATTAATGAAACCCAAGACAAGGTTGACGCCTCCACATTCGCAGGCTCCACTGTACGCGCTCTTAAGCAACATATCACTGAACAAACCGAAATCATCGAGAATTTGAAGATCCAGAAGAGGAATGCAGTCACAGAGCTCAGTCAATTTCAACGCCAGAAAAAGAAAAAGAAAACGTCCCCCTCCAGTAAAACAAAGTCAGAGAAGATGAAGTCTGGGAACCAAAGCGCATCTTCCGATGCCAACACAGCGCTCACCACCTCTCTGATCACTTCCTCTGACCAGGCCCAATCTCTTGCACCATCAGCCCAAGAACATGCACTATTTTTGGTTGAAAAAGTTATGCGCGATCGCGTGATTCGTGATGTGCACCTATCTCGTAGAGTCAAAGGCTTATTACAAGAGGCTCTTTCGAACGCCGACTTGGGGAGAAATGTGTATGGTTTCATCCATCGAGGCAAGATCGGTTGCTACTATTGTTTCCACGAAGTTTGCGAGAAGGGACCTGATGCCTCTGTGGAGCTGCACTTGGCTGATCCGAGATGCCAGCTCGGAAGTGACAAATGCAACTTCCTGGTCAAGGCGGTGGTCATTGGTGCTCACAGAAAGATTCAGGTCTACAATCCTGCTATGGGCACTTCTTCTTGAAGCACCAATAATACCTTGCCAAATTGAAGGTAGCGCGGCTATTTCAGTCGTCATTTTCTTTCGCGTTTGATGATGGGTTATGGGCTCTTGGTGTCGAGGCCAAGGGAATACGTAGACCACCAGGTCAGGGGACAAATTCAACTTGTCTTCCAAGCCCGCATATACGCTATATGCAAGAGGGAATGTATGATAATGTTTTCGGGTCGCTAGGTAACTCAATTGATCTGCAATGCATCCTTGAGCGTCTTATGTGACCATCTCCGATGACAGCGGTGAAGACAATTCATCTAGCTCCTTTTGGCACATTGCCTCGTCGGCACATATTTCTCCTGATGACTTGAAGCACTACGGGCTTCACATATTTACCATTCAAAGCAATGGCGATTGAGGTTTTATAAAATCTCTAAATGATAATCACTTCGATGAAAGTATAGTTTTGATAACGTACAGATTAATGTATTTTGGTGACCTTCTATCATAATCCAGGCAGCTTTCTCTTTGACAGCACAAGTTGAGAAGTGATCAATATTGCCAGAACAGCAGAATTTTATTCCTAGCAAGAAGTCCTCCAGCCCATGATACTTCGCTATCTCACGATTGTCGCCTCCTTTCATCAGAATGCGTGCCATCTCCCCTCGTATACTGTTTCATATGCTCGTTCGTAGCCTTTGCCTTTTCCAACTCAACATCTGTGCAGATACATAATGCTAGACATGATGGGGAGCAGCTGAAGCACTCTTTATCGTCGGGCTATCGATATTTAGTATGCGACCAAAGCAATGGTACAATGCAGAAGCAGACTCACGGCGAAAGACCTCAACCCTGTCACCGTTCAGGTTCATGGAGAAGCTCCTGCCAAGACCAGAGCGGCCAGCGAAAGAGTCCCAGCTGATGCTGTTAACCCGGCTGGCGTCACCTTTTGCGCCAATGCTGAACATGATGCCTCCGACAGGAGCGGAGGGGTTCATCGCCTTGACATGGCGATAAGCCTTGAGGAGCGCTTCCTCATCATCGACATTGAAGGAGATCGTCTTGGCGACGGAGGGCACTTTGCTGTAGACATTGCACTGAGTGCCACCTCCATAGCTGTTACTGACGACACGAAGGTCGGGGATGTCCTTGCCCCGACGGCTGTTGCGAGTCACAGCCTGGAGGACCATACTGTCAACTCGCTTCAGAGGCTGCTTCTGCCTCGGAAGCAGTTGGGTCTGTGGGGACCGGAACTCCTGGGCGGGCTTGAATTCCTGAGCAGGTTTGAACTCATGTGCAGGCTGGGGCTCTTCAGCTTTTGGGTTCTCAGCCGCGGCAGAGGTCGGGGGATCCCCAAAAAGGCTGCCTTGAAAGCGTTTCTCAGCAGTCTCAGCACCGTATGGAAGAGGTGGAGGAGCGGAAACCACGCGCTGGCTGCGGGTCAACTCAGGAGGAGGGATGATCACATCATAAGGGCTCTCGGGAGAGCCCCAAGACGGAGGGCCCCAGGCGCGCTGCTGCATACCGAAAGGCGGGTCGTCGAAAAGAGAGGCAGGGCTTGGATAATAGTTGCTTTGGCTAGTAAAGCTGGGAGAGATCCAAGTTCCGTAGGGGTTGGATCGAAAGTTGCCCTGACGAGGAGGAGCAGACTTAGGCATCGTGATGGAAAAGCACCCTTTTGTCGTGCCGATGAGATTTGAAGTGAGTGAAGAAGAAGGCAGAAGCGCGTGTTTGGTGGGGAACGGGTGAAGGTGGATGAAATTTGGTCGATGCAGGCGGCAAACGGCAAACGGCAAACGGCAAAGAGCTCAGCAAACGGAAGGCGCCAAATGCTTCTGCACCTGCCCGCTATAAGGGTACCTACCTTAGCTTGCCAAACTTGGCTGCAACTTATCAAAGTATTGACAAATATCACCCTCAACATTAGTCCCTTCAACTCATCAAAGTGGCTCTCTTTCTATTCTCAACTCCCAACTTAGTCTTTGGTACCAACCTCCAACTAGACAATGTCCTCGATTACAAACTGTAGCTGGCCAGACTCTCTTTCCGACGACGTCACAGCATCCACAGGAGACCTCAACAAGGACAAGCCAGTTCCTCATCTCGACTATGTCCCTCCTATAGCAACAGTCAAGGTCAAAGCCTTCTCAGAGCCTTGGCCGGGCGATAACCCCACGAACTCTCAAAGAACAGAGTATGTCAACGCCTACCTCGCTTGGGCACGGCACGAAGACCCAGCGCTACAACTGGCAGTACGAAACCAAGCTCGGGCGAGAATTATTAGGGCTCTCCCGATGATCCAAGCCAAAGATTGGACCGAGGCCGAGACTGATCACTTGCATTATCTCATCGACGAAGAATATTGGCGTCTCTGGCGTGAGTCCCCCGATCACTCTTCAAACAAGCTCGCCCCTTACTGACTATTATATCCTTTCAGTGGAAGACGTGGAGCCCAAGCCTTTGTGGCCTTGGACACATCCTGATCCCGTATTCTTTACCTTCAATGAAAGCTCCCGCTGCTTCATTCATCGTCCCCTCCAAAAACCCCCGAGAGTCCCGGATAGTACACCATCAGAAATGCCGTCTCTCTACCAATTTAATGTCAATAGAAATAGCGACATTCACGATGCAGAGCCAAATGTCCCGGCGACAGGTCGTGGTCTTCCTCGAGCGCTGCATTGGCTGGCCAATTCTGGCTTAGGCTTGTGATGAAGTGGTTGTATTTCGACGAAACCTACCGAAGCGTGGTCTAACTTGGATGGTATCTCTTGTAAACATGAATTTTTCTTGTATGCTCTGTGTGATTGTCGTGTTTTTGCACAGCTTGGATACCATGTGTGGCCTGAGTTGGATAGCTATTTCTGGACATATTAGATAGAGCGAGCTGCGGCAAGCTTGACTATTCTCCCAAATACTAGCAGGCAACAGATTCCACTTAATAGATCACTTTCATTTGTCATATCATTTATATGTGAGATCCCGTGGCGGCTTCGATTGACATTAATACCTTCAAGTTCAACAAGTGAGGTCAATTAACTTCCGGCATGGTGGGGTACGGGTCCGGTGTGGTAGATCCACAATCCCGGGTATCTACCGCCTGCTCACCGACCCTACGCTCGTCCGACGGCAACAAAGTTCATGGTAGCACTCCAGACGAAGTATTGCCGAAAGAACCATACTTCTCTTACTGGTTTCTTTTTTAGACCATGGAACCTTCGTTGTCTACGGAGGCAAATTATCTAACAGGTATAGCAGTCATCTCTCTCATAACTACCCCAACCTCTCATCATTCACATCAAAATGTACCACGCCAGCCGTGCTGTTGTTTCCATGCCCTCGGTCCAGTTGGAGGATTGAACCGCGAATCAGGCTGCGGCTGATTCCCTGTCCCACTCCAAGCTCCTCCTTGCCTTCCGCCCTGTCTTTGTGGCCCCGATGGACGAGGCTGACCACCTTGTCCATGACGGCGCTCTCTCGCCTTCTTGGCCTGGAATTTACGCTTTCGATCCCGGTCTCGGGCTCGGTTCCTCTGTACCTTGCGCTTTCGTGGATGACCACCTGCAGCCTTAGGAACGTCGGGAGCATGTTCCAGTTGTTTCTCTTTCATCTCCTCGTCAGATGACTCAATTGATATACTTCCTCCGTCTTCAGAGCCACTCATACGTGGCTCTTGTGCAGGACTGGGGTCAGGCTGTGTGGCGAAGGGGTTTCGGAGGCTCGATTGGGCCCCGTTGCGCTGGTTCGCAAGAAACCCCTGGAATGGATTGAGCTGATCCCTATGGTCAGCTATATTCCGGGCCAAGCCACCAGCCTCGGGATCGAATGACCGACAGATAGGATTGACGTCTGGTTCGAAAGGTCCCGCTTGCTGAGGATCCCTGTGAAAGCCACCCAAGCCTGCGTTGTTGGGCAGAAATACGTTATTGGCTGGGACTAAATGTCCAACGACCTCGTGGTAAAAAACACTGCCTTGTGTGCGAGGCTGTGTCATTGCAGCACTGCAGAGCTTCCTCCTTTCCAGTTTCTTCCAAACCCCTTTGTATGCTTCCAATAGCTCCTTCAATCCTGAAGGATAGCTTTTCGAGGTTTGACCGGCGCAATATTCTCGATAATGGAAATCGCAAGAGATGTTGACCCTGCAGTCATGCAAACAGTTCAAGGCACTGATGACGACATCCAGGTCTCCAGTACGTACCAGTATAATGTCAGTTGAGGCTGGTACTGCGCACAAGCCAACCTGATCAGCTATCAACGCCAGAAGCTTGGCATGAGATGTCATAGGGACACCGGAAGCCTTCAAACGTTCTTGATGGACGCGAAAGCGCTCTAGTACTGGAGAAACTGAGAATTCGTCCCGATTGCCACAGCCGAGGAGATTCAAGATGCGAGCCTCTTCCGCAGAGAACCCTTCACCGTCATCTGTCCGGCAGATGACTGTCCATCTGATAATGATGGGGAGAAATCGGTACGCATTTGTCTCCTAGAACAAAGGATGCGTCATGATTCTCTTGAGCTTGTCGCAGAAATGGGGCGTCCACAAGGGGTTGCGCTTCATTTGTCCGGCATGCATAAAGCTATCGCTGCCGCTATTGTCGAACTCGAAGTGGTGATACATGGATAGCAGGGATAGAGGATCCATGTTGCAGAGACGATAGGATATCTCGAAGACGGAGGAAAGATAAGCACCGCGATCGGACAGGCGCTCTATTGTAGCCTTAACCAAACCACTCTCCCAAGATGCGTCCAGCTCGTCTTCTTGCGCCTGGTTCCAGGTGTGGGAATCGATAAGTTTTGCGAGCTCATACTGCTCTTCTTCCTTCATTCTTTTCTTGCTGATGGTATCTGATTACCTGTTCTTCTCCCTCATAAGATTGACCGAGTTTCTATAACTCTTGATGAGTTCCGTGATAGCTTGACTCTCATAAGGGTCGGGCGGGACCAAAACTTCCCCATTGCTGAGCTGTGATGTGTCGATAGTTCGGCATGGAGAGCCTCCATAATTGCTAGGAATATACTCATCGCCCATCCAACTTTGGTGGCTGTATTTCTCATCGCCCAGTGCCTGTGGTGGCGACGGGAATCGCGTTTGCGGTTGTCGGACAGCATTTTCCGCAGCGATAGTCTTTTTATTCTTGGAACCTCGTGGTCTTCCTCTCCCTCTGCGTATGGGAGGTGCCTGTGCTTGATTAGGGGTAGGGATGCTGTCGTCCACAAGATTGATGGGAAGAGACTGGCTCCCATCTACAAACTCCACTTCCGCGTGCTGGTTTTGGGGAGTTGCAGGTAACCCCATACCCGGTGAGCATTCTCCTGGCGGCAGATGATTCTCATCCATTCTTTTCCCTTTTCGAAGCGATCGCTTTTGAACTGTCCGTGCGTGCTCTTGTGGAATATCCAAGGAGGATGTTGGTTGGTGGTGAGGTGATGAAAGGAAATCTGAAGAGAGGCCCACCCTTGAGGCGGCTTTGCCACGCTCTGACTTAACACTAGGGGCCGTACTGTGGTACGAATGCAGCGTAAGCCCCAACTTAACAGAAGGGCTCCTTTATAACCCGAGTTAACCAAAGTGGTATCAAGAATCTCGGTAACCCGTCTTGGCTGTCTACGATAGTGTCAACTGAGAAGGCCACTGACGGAAGGGGAATAGACCACGTTGTGATTGTTTCCTATAGCAATTTTTTCACTGGGATTCGATCGGAGTCCGAGTGCTTAGCCTGTTGGGCTCAACAAAAAAACGGTATATGTTGAACGCTTGACATGGAACCCGCAGAACAAAGAAAGAAAAGTTCATGGCGCATGTTTGTTGCTCTCAGCGTCAAAACGCATGACAAAGTTGACAAACATGATGAGTATGGGAGATCCTTGTATTACCATTTCGTATTTTCACAATGGATGTTTGATATGGTGATATCATCCCCAAGAATGCAGTTGTCTGCTTGGCCTTTGACCTGATTGATCATTGACTCTCCAGAAAGAAATGAATGTCCCTATTGCAACAAACTTTTATAATTCAAGCCATTGTAGAGGCTGCGACTGGCACCGGGAGGCAAGCGCCAGGAAGTCTGGACCTTTCCATCAGAGACTGGCATTTATTGAACCTGTCATTGTAACAATTGTGAAGGAAGAGCTGTGGCATAACGGAGCCTCCAACAAACTCATAGGTACCTACAGCTCGACATTGAAGCTCCAAGACAGAGACAATTGCATGGTATCAGTACTGCACTCTGATTAAAGTTATTTAATATGTCTCATCAGCAACGAAAAGGGCTCTGTACATGCCGGGTCTATTTCGGAGCAGCAACGATAAGTCTCATACGATTCGCAACAATGCCCACCAAGGCCTAGCACCCGTTTTTGACAATAAGCACGAGCTGGCCGCACGGGAAAAACTAGCCAGCTTTGGTCGATGATACGAACTTATTGCCATGAATGGAAGGGGCGTGATTATTCATGATACCGATTCCTTTGTTCCCAACCAACAAGTGACCCCTGCCCCCATCCCCCTGCCGTCGAGACAAAGAATCACCAAACGGAAAGACATTGACAGCGACGGAGATGGCAAGACCCAAAGGAAACTATTTTGTACACATCGGTTCAATGACAAGGGTGAAGAGACTAACGATAGTCTAGTAACGCAAGCCCCCCCTACCGCAAAGCTGTTTCAACAAAGAGTCACCTGCTGAAACTCTCACAGCTACCAATCTGTCTTCTTCTTCTTGGGCGCGACCTCCATTGAACTCGCTGAACTGTTCGAGAGGTTCAGATTCCTAGCCATGGAATGATGAATGATGAGTATTCAGGAGGCGTCCCATCGCGACATGCAGCATCTCACATCAATATTATACGAAATTCTAATCTGATCCGACCACACAGATCAGGGGAACTCGGCATTGTCAAATGTGGGCTGAAAAGCGTTGAAGTTTCTTTGTTCTACTAGTACCGGCTTTCGAAAGATGTATAATACCCGTCGAGGCTCCCACCAAGCCTGGGACCAACCCAACAGCAATACCAGTACTCATCCCCATTATGTCCGCACGAGCAAACGATATAGATTGGGAGCAGGCCTTGAAAAGTCTTGTCGGCCATCTCGATAGGTTCATCGAACCGTCTGATGGCGAGATCTTCGGCCACCTCAAGTTCAGGGCCGCCGAGGGAGACATCTTTGGGATCCCGGCCATGTTGTTTGAGCATAGAATTGAACTTGACACCAAGATTGTTGTTGTCGTCTCTGAAAGCAAAAGGGCAATGATGGATAAGAGCCTGATGCCCAAAGCCAGCGCCATCATGCGGGCAGCTTTTCAAGCTGGACGAGCGCTCACATCGGAATTGGCAATCTATACGTACGGCGAGCTTTTCAACATTCTCAAGAGCTTTAGAGACCCCAATTCCTGGAACCAAGCTTCTCGGGGCTTCTGTGATCCTTTCACAATTTTCTTGATGGATGTGGACCCTGATTTCAGTGCGGAATTTGTCCTGGCGCTGAATGCTGCGACTATCTTCACCAAAACATTCAATGCCAATCAGCAGAACCCAAACACCACTCTCAAGCTGGTGACCATGTCATCTGAGAGCATCCATCCACTCATCTCGAGTTTGTTTAGGCGATTCAACATGAATATCCGGTTCTTTAATCTACCCGTAGTTGACAACAACTACTGGCCCAAGATGGTTTATTCGGCCGACATGAAGAAAGCACTGCGCAACATCCAGGACGAGATTAGGAAACATGGTCACGGTCGGAAGAATACCATCATCACGTTCTGCGGTGAAGATCTTACGCCTGATGAATGGCGTGGAGACCGGTTCATCAAAAACATGAGACACATCCAAGTGATCCATCCCGGGGTTCTAAACGTCATCAAGAACGTCAATGAAGATATGCTGGTTTCCTTTCCCGAGACCTTCGAGGCTGCCTTCAAACTTGAAATTTCTGGAAATGTGCATATAGTTGGAAGTCTTGTGCGGAAACGACGTATCTTGGATCGGCAGACTGGTCACGAGGTTGAAGCCACACTCAAGCTGTCGAAGCTAGAGCGTCAAGCCCAAATGGATGCGGCATCGTGGTTCGACATTGACCACAGTTTCGTATGTTTCTATGCACCCGATCACTACCTTGACTCTCCCCAATTCGACTTCCCTCGTCGCATGAAGTTTGCCTGTGAGCAGATTGACGGATTTGCCGCGGCATGGACGGATCTAGGAAACTGGCCTGATGAAACGTTCGATCTTCTTAACCATGTCTTGCACGTCGAAAACGGCACGGCTAACGACAATGACCTCCTTCCTGGCAAGGCCACGGAAGATGGGATTGATTATTATAATATCAATACTGCTCTCGATCAAACCTGGAAACGCTTGCAGCTCCAAGGCCTCATCGGTCCTGTTTACACTTCGTATGCATTTGGTACAGCCATCCCTGCCGGGCTTGCGGGGTTCTTTCACGACCTCAGCTATGTTACAAAACATATTGGCAAGGCCGCACATGCCATGGCAATAGAATCTACGTCGTCAACTGTCAGTCAGCTCAAGATGCACGTGCTTGCGGCTCTCTGGGTCGGCATGAAGCGACTCGTCCAAATCGACTGGCGAAACTCCAACGGGAATACCAACCAGGAGATTTGGAACCTTGTTGATTTTGGCAGCACCGCCGCGATTGCTCGGTACGGCACCCTATGGTCCAAGTTGGGCTTGATGGAGGCCGTCTGGGCGAAGCACGCTGCAGGGTCTTGTCCTAATAGCACTGCTTCACATATCATTGATGGTCGCATATCAGCCTCCACGTTGGCGAGGTCAAATTGGATAAGGTATAGGCAATCCATATCCGCTTTGGCAGACCGTGATGCGATTGAAATGCCTTCCGTCGATGGCTTCTTCCTCAGAGAATTCGAATTTGAGAAAAGCGATTACGACGACCTGTGTAAGCCCTTCATGCAGGCATACTCGAACCAGGTCGCCATAGTCACGAAACGCGGCAACCATTTGAAGATGATCGACTTTGCATCTGGACAACATCTGGATTGCACGGAGGATGTTAGGCATCTGGTCGATTGGGCAGAGATCATTCGACAGGAGGAAGACTCTCAAGTCCTTGGGTTCTATACTTCAGCATCTCGAGACTCGCGGGGTGTTAGAACCAAGATCTCTGACTGGAACTGGATCCCCATTAGTCTCTGGGCAGAATGGGGTCAGACTCTGAAAGTTACTCATCAAGTGGGAACAGAAGCTTTCAAGACGCAAGGGGCCACCGGCCCGCTGCCCCGGGATCGCAAACGGAACCCCGACGAAGTTTGAGAGTTCAGCGTATTCTTTACTTTCATATGTAAGTATATTGTTCCTCGTTGGTGTACAGACTGTATGGATTGAGTGTAAGGCATTTCGGTATGGGACGGTACAGGCTTGAGTTTACGTGTTGTGAAACGCTTGTTTGTCATTTTACTTGGATAGCTCGATGTAATGCCAGTATTGTATTGGTCTTGGATAGGTAGAAGCTTGCAGAGTCTGGGTTCTGATAGATCTCGAAATTAGTGAGTGTAAAATTGCTTGACATTGGATGCTGAAGTTAGACCTGTGAACGTGGTGGAGATCAATCCCGACAAAACTTTGCTCCAAGCCAATATGATCCGCTATATCGGCGACCTGGCCATAGTCAAAGACATCTTTTTCAGGATTGAGGTCTTCTGGGTTAGTAAGGTTGATAGCGAGACCGGTCTGGGCGAAATTTGCAGGAGGACGCTATGGATGAGGATGTCTGAGAAGACAGTGGAATCACGTACTGGTTGTGGACTGGGGATGGTTCGAGCTGTTGAAGGGCCGCTTATATTGAGCAATTAATAAAACAGTGGCAGGTAATTCAACACATCTATCCCCATGGCACTGGTATCTCGACTAATCCTGACCTACATAGTGATAAAAGCGAGTACAGTCGAAGACTCAGACGTCCATCTGGACTCGGTCAAGTCAAGAAACGAAATATAACATTCTACACAAAATGACAGAATATGCTCATATACTATGAGCGCCAGATCTAAGTCTATGTTCAACTACCTCAGTCGCTTCATGGCCAGTTAAAGCTCAACGAATGCCTGTCGTCTCCCGGGGTGGTCACGTGACCTGCTGCCGATATCCCCGCCGTGCGGTCGGCCCCCTGCTTCAAGAATGTAAACAACAGCAATTCGCATGCGGTGCGAGATAACTACACACAACAACAATGGACCTGCAGCTAGATGCAGAAATACGGAGTGTGCTCAAGTTAGTGCGCAGCTCTTTGCGCACAGATGGAATACCGCTTGAAAATGCAGTCCGAGAACTGAGAAGCATCACTGAGTCAATCCAGAATGCAAACCGCCTTCATCACACTCAGTCGCTTCCTGATGAAAACGATGGCAAATATGCATCCAAAGAAGAGGATCAGTTTCGCCTGGAGCATATGCTGGATAGCCTTTAGAAGAGGCTCGATGACTTTCCAAATAGCAAACAGTTTATACAGATGAAGCAGCAACTTGACAAGAACTCCAAATACCTGAAGGATTTGAAGACAAAGTCGAGGAAGAAAGCACCCAAGCGCAAAATGAGGTTCCCAGGCACCAAAATTCCGGCAAGTCAGCTGGAGAAATGTGTGCAGTGACATAGCTGACTTGGTCACCAGAAGCATCCTCAGAAGCCTATCCCGGCACGAAAGGGCCTTACGCGCAAAAGCACCAAAGTGAAACCCCTTGACAGTAATAGACGAAGCGAGCGCCTCGAGCGCACCAAGCGCCAGCTTGAGAAAGAAAATGTTTCTGCACTCTATGAAACAAGCAAACTGCGACAAGAGCTCCGAAAGGAGAAGAGGGCTCTAGCAAAAGAACGATCAGAGAGGACTCGACAGAGCTTGGAAATCGACCTACTCAGAAAAGACAATATCTCCGCGCATAAGAACCTCAGCGAAAGCCAGGTCGCTCTTAAAGAGGCTCAAGACCGATGTCGGGAGCTTGAAGCTTCTCTGCGCTCACAGAATGAGACAACTTACACAACGCAAGATCTGTATACCGGAGAATCCCCTATCACTGTACACGGGAGCAGTTCTGATGATGTTTCTGATGACTTCACGATGCCCTATCCCATTGAGAAGGGGAGCAAATCCAATAAGTATGAGCAAAACATTGCCACACCGCCGCCAAGCCAAAAACGTCGGTCTTCGGTCAGGACTGCTGCAACACCTCCAGAGACCCCAGTGGCTGGCCCTTCGAACAACACGATGTTGCTCGCTGGCCATTTCCCTGTCGTGGAAGACGAAAGCTTTGATCTCGAGACGGAGGAAATCATGATTGGTCACTTGAAATCCGACAGAGTCTTCAGGCGCTTCAAGGAGTTTCTGAAGACGGGACATGAGAGCTCATGGTACTGCGTTGAAGATATCGCCCAGTTTGGATACAGCTTCGGTTCCTGGAACGACAGCATCTGCGAAAACGGAGAGCATGATGGTGTTCGTTGCAGACAGGTCAAGGTTACGGTCGTCGATTCTGAGAGACGGCTTTGCTTCAAGCGTGACGAGAGGGAGAGTGCAAGCTCCTGGCAGGGCGGTTGGGGTGATTGGTAGGGTGGCTGAGTTCTCCAGTGCGATTTGGGAGGATATCTGATGATATGGGATTTTTGGAGTTTTATGTGCTGGTAAATTACTGTTGTGGACAATGGAATGTTGGGCAATGGTCATTTCAGGGGGATCACTTAGTACGCCCTTAGCGACCTGCATTAATGTATGTACCACAAAAAATAATGAGAATAACTCGGCCTTGCGTAATAATCTAAACAGAATGCTGTAACTGCGGCCGCCGTGCTTGTATCCAATTCCTGTTTAAACGCTTTCTCAATAATATCGATATAACGCTTCGGTTCAGGGCCTCCCCAAACCCATTCAACCACGGTGATCACGGCCTCCAGATAGAAGCACCGTCTCTCATTGAGTGTGTATGTCTGACTTGGCGACAAAAACCGTCAATCAAAGACCGGAGGACACTCTGCTGAACTCGTGAACCAGCGTGGGCGAACCGAGGGTTCATCTTGCCCGTAGTCGTCGTTTCCATCGTCCATCCCTCCACAGCGACGTTTCGTAAGTCTTGTTTCGGAATCTGAGCTTTCGGTGTATTTTCTCTTGCGAGCGCCCATTTTCCAAGGGCAAGGTGATGTTCTGATACGGCTGCAAGCATCAAGTGGCTTGTCATACACTTGCCGCAGAATTTCGTATCCTCTATTGAACTTCATTCGGCATTGGACAGTTCCATCCGGATACCATGGCCACTGCCTTTGTTTCAAGGTGACATATTCCGGAGCTTTTGGAGCTAGATTAGAGACAGTAAGTATCGTATTCAAGATTCGAGGGCATGGGGGATCAACCATTGTAACGCCACATAAAGAAGTCGACAGCACTATCTAGCTCTCGCTTCTCTCGATATGTAACGATCATGGACAGAAGTCTGTCTGTCGAGGACTCCAAGATAGCTTGCGTTCTCTGGCGCATCTCCCACTAATTGACTGCAAAGTTCTTCCATCGAAGCCATCGTTCGAAGAGCAGGAACATGAATCGGCGCCTTTGCTGTGTAGTTAGGTTGTATCCGGGGAATTTATTGATCCTTGCAAATGGCTTGTTGGGCCTCCGTGGAGGAGTTTTCGGTGGGTTCTTGAGGTACTCTGCTGGCTGTGCTTCGGTTTCTCTTGGCTGATTTGCGGCTATGCATAGGCAATACTCCTCCTGCTCCTCCATGATGAACGAGTCGTGCTCAGGTAAATGAATTAGAATGATTCTGTAAATTTAAAAGCCATAACTATTAGTGCAAGTTGGACTTTTATGGTGAAATTCAAGGGCCGGCATCAGTTCCAGGTTGTTGACGCTGCTCAGCACTTGGTAGCTGTCTTGAGGTCGCACCTACCTCATTCACCAATCTTGTTTCCTTGCTTTCTTTCTAATTCCCACTCAACTCAACAACAGCAAACAAATTTCTCTGTTAGATCACATCCAATGTTATCACCATACGGCAGATACTAACTCACACTTGACGAACACAATGCCAAAGAATAAGATACGAGGAAGGGACAGTCATTCATCCTGTGCGGGTCCTTACGAAAGGCCGCAGGAGGAGAGTGGTCGTGGAGCTAACGGTCCGGGTGACTACCATTCATCTCAGGGAAGTGGCTGGGGTCATGAAGCTCGAGTCGGAGGACACAACTCCTATGAAGGTCCTGGTCGTGCTGCTAACCCAGCACTTCGGTTTGGTGGTGCAAATGACCAGGGCTTCCATGCAGCCGAGAGATATGATACCTATGGCCGAGAACACGAGTATTCCCACTTCGACAAGTCTCAACAGGGGATCAACGATGGGATGGACAGGATTGTCATGATTATCAGGAATATGATGGCCCTCGATACTGAGATCATGTATAGAATGAGGAAGATGTCTATAGGCATGTCATTTGACACTCGGTAGAAATATACCAGATACATCATTCATACCCAGACTAATTTACGCCGTGATCGGGTTAAGAGGTTAAAAGGGACTTCAATCACAACGCACAAGGGTAAAACACAATCAACACAAGGATCAAATCTGCATAAACAGAAAGGGACATGTTTATTCTCTCTCTATCTGCCTCCTCTCCTACGGGGTGGCCAAAGGGCGTTATGCGCCGCTCCCAGCTGCCAAGTCCTGACCTGCACGTAACTATCCTCCTCGCCTTCATCACTCTCAGTGGCAGCTGTGCTGAAAGAGCCGACAGGTGTAGCTTTCAAAGGGCTGGACTCATCTCCCTGCATCTCGTCATCATTGGCTTCTTCTACTCCAGTTTGAGTCAGAGGTTCTTTTGCTGGGCTCGTCCTCTGAGCAATGGGTGAGGCGCTCTTGGATGCCAGATGCTGGTCACCATCACCATCACCTTGCTCGAAGCCTGCAACTTCATCGTCACTCATTCTCGGATCGGAATGGCGAGATTCTTCTTTTTCGCTCGCCACATAGGCATGGCTCTGCTGTTCTTGGACAATGGCGTTGGCAATCCGTTGTTTTGAGACTGCGCCTTTGGCTGCTCGAAGCTTCTCAAAGAAGTTCTTGGGATCACCGCCATATGTTTCTTTCACCTTCTCCCAATTTGCTGTTGCGGGATCGATGATCAATTGAGATCGCTCCATGTCAGGATTGTTTCTCATAGTGGCAAGAATCCCCTCAACTTCTGACTTACGATCGCCATTCAGGACATCGATAGCAAACTGCGTAGTCCAGGGGAAAAGATGGCTTACTTCAGTAGTAGGATTGTTCTTTACCCACTTCCACATCAGGTTGTACCAAAATGCGGTTTTGAGTGGAGGGAGACAGGCACGTCTTTTGACCAGTATCTCGATCTTTTGGTTGACTTCCTTTGGGAAGCGCTGGCACCTGTCGGTCTCATGTTCTCCAGAGTTACACACAGCGCAGCCGTGGGTGAATCCATCTTTTCCGATGGCCCAGCACTGAATGACCTCATGGCCAGGCTTCTTGCAGTTGCCGCAGACTCCGGTTTCTTCATCATGATTCCCTTGGTAGTGCAACTCTCTATGAGGCTTTTGTTGCGTACCACCACCTTTGGGCACATTGGGGGTCTCGGGGGCAGCAGTACCTTTGTCTGATTCGACTCGGCACAACGAAGCCTTCTCAACCTCGTGAGACTTCTTTGGCTTCTTTCTTTTTCCTCCCTGTTGTCTACCATTGTTTTGGCTCTGCTGTGTTTGCGAGGCCTGGTGAGACTGAGAAAATGGGTTTGAAGGCTCGTTCCCAGGTTGCCATGGGGCATCGGGGGTGAAGTGGTACGAGTTGTAACCCGGTCCCGTGGGTGGGTAAGTGGGATATTGCCCAAATGGATAACCCGAGCCAAATGCTGGAGGGGGTTGCTGTCCATAAGGAGTCGGGGGGTAGTTGGGATAAGGCATAGGATAACTGGGAGTATTTCCCCAGTTTCCATAATAGTTGCCATGGCCATTGTTGTAGCCACCGCGATTACCACCACGACCACCGTGATCGCTAGATGGTCCGCCGCCACCTGCAGCTTCACCTTCTGGTTGGTTTCTCTTCGACATTATTGTTGCTGCTGCTGCTGTCGTTGTTGTGGGAGCCGCAGCTTTGGTGTCGATGAAGAGATGATAGAAGAGAAAAAAATGAAAAGAGAGGAAGCGAGAGGGAAGGGCGAAGAGGTAAACAACCCGAATGAAGTTGATCTGTGCGTTACCTCCATCTTTCTCTGCCTTAGTTAGGTTGAACATTGACTGTCAGCATCATTGTGTCTGTGTCTGTCAGTGCCAGTGGCTGTCAGTGTCAATGGCTGTCAGGTACTGAAAGCAGGCATATTATGACACTCAGACAGATCCATACACAAATAGTGTACTTCGAGAATTGGACTACCGAAACTAAACGACACTGATGTGATATTACACTCAAGATGGACGGACTTCCCCCTGTTTTGATGAAAGCAACGTACCACTCATTTATCATCAACCTCATCGTGATTCTTAGCCAACTTAAACTTGGTTCGCAGCCTTTCAACACCCCCAGGCAACTCCGCACCCCAGCGGTCCCAAACCTCGGGCGGGATCCAATTCCAGTCTTTTATCGTAGTCCTCCCCCTCTCACGACTAGCTCTAGTATAGATACCCACGGCGTAGTCCCACTTGTCCTTCGGGATGGTCTCCCATTCGAAACAGTGCTGTACCTCGAAACTTGCTTCGAGGCGGGCTTGAGAAACAAGGTCCTTTATAAACACTTCGCCGTGCTTGGTGACTGTGACAAGGGCAATTTGGTAGGTATATGCTCTCAGGAAATGTGCCCAGACTTCCATGAAATCATCGAATTCGATAGCCTCTGGTTCTTCCTGCGTAAAAGGCAAAGCTTCATCGACGCTATGACCGCACGTGCCGAGGACGTGGAGTAGCAACCTGCATCGCTCCATGACGTGCTTTACTTCATCCATGTATACGCGAACCTGATTATCGACGATGTAAATCTCTGGTAAGAGCATAGAGAAGCGCGAGGCGCTTATCGCAGTCTTTAAGAGTCCAAGACCCTTCATGACAGTACCGGTATGTGCGACATGCTTCAAGAGACCGATCCGGGCTGCGCCACTGGTTTCGTGGACCTCAGGGGCTATTTTATAGGCAAATGCAAAGCAGTTCGTGTTACTCCCTGAGATTATCGCAGCCATTTGCGCTTTCGCTGTATTAACCATAGGGTTCTTAGACTTGAGGCTCAGAAACAGCGCGAGACGGTGATCGTATTCGACAAGGGGGAGAATGTTGTAGAAAGACTGGTGGGATTCTTTAGGGAGAGCCAGTGACAACCCTGTGGTCGACTTGGAATCATGTTGAAGGATCCCTTGTCGAATGAGCCGTTGCTCGATATCGATAGGGACTTGAGAATCTTCTTCCCTGGGATCGAAAAGCCGCATCACATTTGAGATACCGAGAGGCCATTTGTCCAACTCGCCCAAAGCAGCCAAAAAGCCCCCAAGCTGCTCATCCGCGAATCTCATGCGTCGACGACGTTTAGCCCCATAGCAGAATCCGGGCTGTGTATATATGTTTGTGCTCTCTCCGTTGAAGCGATGCACCCAACTCATCTGTTGCTTCTCCTCGGAGCTTGAGCATTCTATGGTGACGGTGATGGGCTGTCGTGTCTCGAGGTCGAAGATCAGCCGGCGACGGGTGGTGCTCGTAAGGAGATGAGGCTTGCCTGCGTCTGGGATCCTTTCAGCAGTCTTGAAGTCTATGTTGATGAAAAATGTTCGTCGAGGTTTTATTGCGGAGTCTAGATCCTGGTGGTGGTGTTGGTAACACGTATCCCAGGATTCGTCAAGGCTCGTCGGTCTTCGGAAGCTGATACAAGTATGAGTGCCATTAGGGGCCACCTTTTTGACCCAACTCATCATTTCTGATGTTGCACTTTTGGTCTTTGAGTTTGAGATGACTCGTCCCCCGCCTCGCGCGATAGACGGCAGCAGGTATTCTCGAAGGGGTTCCTTGGCTGCGGGCCAATAGTTCCAGATGGTTTTTGTCATATCGTGGGTGCCTTCCCATGACATTGTCATCAATCGCATACGGATACTCGATGAACTGTGTCTTTTTATCATGGTAGTCCAGGCTATCAGAGCGAGAGCGTACTCGGCAGAGTAATCAGGGTCTGCCTCAATGATGACAACAACAGCACAAGCGTTCTTCCCAATGTCCGGCAGGTGCCAGCCATTCTCCCGACGAGCAATCTTTAACATATTCGTTGCTTCGACATAGTCCATGGTTCTGATGCTTTTTGCGGTTTGTGTGGTGAGACGCATGCTGGCCCTCAGCTTCTCTCGTTCCTTGAAAACTTGATCTTTCTTTGTCGCATTTGTGATATGAATGATTTCCGCATCTGAGTTCGATCTGCAAAAAGAGTCTTGTAGGAAAAGAGGAACTTTGATTGCCTTTGCGATTGCGGGTTGGCCTCGTATATGAGCAAACATGAAGGGGTGGTCTTTCATTAGCCATTTTGCCATGTCACGAATGGTGTCTTTCCAAGGGTCGCCCATCTTGTACTGAACTGGCCGTATAAAATGATATTGAGTTCAAATATTTTATCTTGGTTTCTATTAAGAATGTCATGATATGGATTGAAAGGGGCGTGCAGTGGCAAGAATGGGTGCTGAAATGATGGTTCGGATAGCTGCATGGATGAAACAAAGAAAGCAAACGCCATGCACGGGTAGTGAGCAATCAGCATGATTTAGTCGCTTTTGGCAAGCATGATCAAACAGTCATTCTGGCCATCTCCTCCTTTTCTTGCAATGAAATAAACAGAAAGCACCCTTGGCACCATGCTTGTGCAGCCACACAAACGATACATCGAATGCAGCTTGATCGGAGAGTTTCTTACCATTTCGCCGCGCGATCAAAGCCATCTTACTCAGACACACGAACCAGCAGAATTTCATCAGAGGCTCATACTAGTCTAACTTACTGAGCATATTGAAAGCATTCATGTTTTATGTTTATTTTATCCGTGAAACTAAGAACTGGCTCTGCCGACAATGAGTTCACGTCTATAAGCCATTGAAGTGGTAAAACGGTCTCGATGAGCACACCACACTCCACCAAACTTGAAACTACCTCACCTAAGCTCCTTCGCTTGCATCCTAGTTAATCAGCAAAGAACTACCAGTAGAATGAGCGGGAGCCTCCGCCTACAAGCGCGCTCTCTGCTCTTGCTACTTGTCTCGCTGTCCATCTCGGCTCATTCTGGCTACTGTGGCCATAGTGAATATGAGCTGGCGCTTTCTTAGGTGATATAGGAACAGTGACTGCAAGAGAGCATAGAAGTTCTCCAGCAGATAATGGATTCCGGTAATATCCAATATGGAAAAGTTCAAAGTGGTGAAACTCTTCTTACCGTCCATCTTAGTGTACTGAATGGTAATCTGGGGCGTTAGCAATAATGGTCATCAGTTTCGAGTGTAATGACAGACTCTACGCCTTCGTTTCAATTAGCGGTCGAACTACACTGCTTCATAAATACCATATATTCCTTTCAACTTCTATACTATAAATGTCTTGACAAACAGATGTGCTACATCCCTTCAATTTCTTATTGCCCTCAAAAAATGATATTTCTTTTTTATGACCCTGCGGTTTTCTTTCTATTTTCCCTTGGTAAAAGCACCAGAATCACCTTTTGTCGCTACCTAAGAACTCCAACAGCTCACATACGCATAGAGTTGCGAAGGAGATCGGCCTTGACGATCCTCTTCATCGTCGTGATTCGCTCCGAAATCTCGAACTTCATTTCAGAAGTTCCAGCCCGGTCCCGCCAGAGGTCAGCAGCCAGGTGGATACGCTCAGGCACATCAAGACAGATGCCTTCCTTGCGAGAAATGGCCCAGTCCCTGAGGGCCGCACAAACTCCGAGCGCGATGCCTTTGTTGTCTAGAATGGTGTTGATTGTTTCCTCGCAAGCTTTTTGTTCTTGTTTATTTCGAGTCTGTATCTCCTTGAATCCAGCTGGAAGGCCCGGAATCGTATGCACTTCTGTTCCCTTTCGTCCTTCTGCCATGTTCTCCAGGTAGCTCCTCATTGTAGTTAGTTGGCCCAAGGTGCAGGCAAAATATCAAGTTCTTATGTCGGCCCAGACCCTACCGACGCCTTCCGAATTGATGGCGTTGCAACTGTTTGACAAGAGTTCACCGCGAGCCACAGCTTGAGGAACAACAGGCCCGACCACCAGAGCATGGGCTGCTTCGGGCAGTTTCCCAGTATTGATGGGACACTCAACATGCACCTCGCTGCCCTCTACCCTTTCGTCATATCTCCAGGCAACTTCGACACGCTCTCGCAAGAGGCGCTCTCGGATCTTGTTGAAGTCACGGCCATCGTGTCCCCAGACGAATGTCCAAAAATCGAATTCGGACGGCAAAACCAGCGTGAATGGTAAGTCTGGATCAGGGGGGGTCACTCCTGGGTACAGTGACTTCCAAGCGTTTCTTCGGGCACGGAGCGATGGGACTGGAGCAGGTAAAGGGTAGTGCATACCATTCCACTCCATGACTTGAATCAAGGTGGACTCAGTTTGAGATGGTGCCTCTTGGTCTTCTCCCTCCTCCGGTACAGACGCCCGATTAATGTCCAGACCACCATCTCGATCATGATCCTGTCTGAGGCTGAAAAACACTCTCGAACGTGACTCTGCAAACTTAGGTATTGGGGGTCGTGACCATGGCCACGCAGGCTTCGATTGAGGGGGTAGCCCGAGGACTACAAAATTTTTGATTAGCTAACGATAGAGACAGTAATTACAGTGTGGCACTAACACCAAAGGTCCCAAAAGACTTTGTCGATTTCCCATGCAAAGCGGGAGACAGCGGTTACTCTTGTTCCTCCCTTGATGAGAAGGTTGGCTGCGATGATTGTGGCATCCTTGCGCAGGAGCTGTTTCGTGTCTTCGATGTTCTCTCTGGGAAAGCATTGGGAGAGGAAGAGTTCAACATATTCCCGCCTTTGTTTCGCGTCTGGTTCGGGGCCAGGGAAGGGGGGGAGTGGACGGGATGCGAGTTGCGAGAGATGCGAACGCACAACCGACAAGTCGTTTAGCGAGTATCCATTCATCTCGAGGGCGTCGGAGATGGAAGAGATGTTGGGCATGAGAAGTTTGACAGTTTGTGCTGTTCTCGTATTGGAGTTTTGTGTGCTGGCATCAGGTGTGATTCACTGCCGCTTGCTAAGGCAGAGGCTCGCCAGTGCCAAACAATGCACGGCGACATAAGACTGCAGACCTCAGAGGATGATGGGCGCCGTTTCTAAGTATGTCGAGAGCCCTTTTATACTTTGGAAAAACTTCACAATGACCTCGATAATTCCAGTCAAACAAAGTACCCAGCATCGTTGCCGTATTGTCAAGGCTCCATACAGAACTCCAAATTTGCACTATGCGTTCGCTGGCTGCCGTGGCAGTATGTCCCTCAATAACGCAGTTGACCAGGCGTTGACTTTGGACTACTTGGATCCAGAGGTAGTGCCGGCTCCTTGAACCGTTGTTTTTTGGGCATGTGTCCGAAATGCTTTCTCTACACATTGGATACATCGTAAATCAAATCTGGCTTTCATCGAGGGAAAGCCACGGGAGTAGGAGGCATATCCTAGACGGAATTCATATCCACTGCACAATAAGAGACTCAAGATAGATTTAGGCAATCTCGTCATGGGTTATTGATTCCTTGTTGTAGTCAGACCACGGGAGTAGATGTCAACACGCCTGATCTTCCTGGTGAGTACTCGAGTAAATACCACAGAAAGAAGCTGTTACTTACAAAACCATGCGCTACCCTAGACTCGTACAAGTCTTTTTATGTCCAAGGAGCAAAAGCTTGACATCACACGTTTTCTCTATTGAGTACCGAATATCACCGGGACATACTTGTGGAAGTGTTCAAGGTCCCGAATGTCACATGCAAGTAATTCTCGACGATCGTCGCCGTTGCATTCAATCCAGTTGCACTCCGGTAGCGAGCCCGGAGCTTTCTCCACTTCCGCCCGAACCGGCGCCGGCTGTTGACCCGATTACGGCAGTTCGCGATTCCACCCCGGACCAACCCTCAAAACAGTCACCGAATCCTTCTCAAAAGCTTAAAAACTTATCGAACGGTTCGGGCCGTTGCCTCAAAATGAATAAAGTGCTCTTGGACCTGCATACGAAGTCACATTATCCCAGGGGTCATTCACCACTGAGCTGTGAACGTGGAAATGATGAACGTCGAAACTGTCGTAGGCTATCGTTGATTAGCTCTGGGGATCGGCACGTGGGTGGTCGATGCTGATGACCTGGGGGTTTCAAACTTTGATGCGAACCTGGTGAGGAGGATGTTATGCATGCTGATTGGTGGCTTGGGACTAGGGTGCACTAAGAGCTCACGAGGGTGGTATTGGACGGAGTGGATGATTAGAGGAATCAGATATTGGGATGGATTATGCAAAAGGGGATATATAGTTTCGAAACTCCTGCTATGAAACTCGCGTTGTTATTGTTTCCCACCGTCTTTCGTTCAGCTTTGTAATAGGGTTGAGAGGTCAAAAGAGGCTTCAGCCCCAACACAACAAGGTCAAGAAACACAAAACAACACAGACGGGCAATATACTCATTGCGTTCATTCAACTCAGTCATTATGAAGTCCTTCGTTTCTGTCGCTATTCTCCCTCTCGCGGTTCAGGCCGTGAGGATCGTTCAGTCCAACGATGATGGCTGGGCAGAGTCTTATATCCGCACTTTCAATGACGCTCTGAACAGCGCGGGCTACGACGTTGTTCTCTCCGCTCCTGCAGAGAACAAGTCTGGCAGCAGTAAGTCACATTAATACGCGTTTCAATCACATCTAACATCATAAAGGCTCTAGGGATGAGAGGCCCAAAGACCGCACCACAGCGTGTCAGTATGACAGCTGCCCTGCCAACAGCGGCCCCGTTGGCCATGATCCCAAACGCCCCGATCTCAACTGGGTTAACTCGTTCCCTGTCACTGCTATGAAGTACGGTATCGACACTTTTGGTCCTAGCTTGTGGGGTGGCGAGGCTCCTGAGCTTGCTGTCGCTGGTCCCAACGTTGGAACCAACCTCTGGCTTCAAGTTCCTTTCTCTGGCACCGTCGGCGCCGCTTGCTATGCTGCTCACGAAGAGGGCATCCCAGCCATTGCCTTCTCTGGAGCTTCTACCGGAAATACGGCCTTCAACACTAGTCCCGTCCCTAAGCGCAGTCTCGTCTACGCTGAGCTCGCGACCACTCTCGTCAAGAAGATTGTCGACTCTGGAAAGCCTTACCTGCCCCAGGACGTCTATCTCAATGTCAACTTCGGAAAGGTTGAGGGTAAATGCACCGATGCGTCCCAGTTCCAGTGGGTGCTGACTCGCATCAACACTGGTCTTCTGTCCAAGGATGATACTGAATGGTGTGGTGAGAATCGTCTCCCTACTGAGACTGAGATTGCTCTTAAGAGTGGATGTTATGCTTCTATTAGTGTTGGAGATGCTGCTGATAAGACTACTGCTGATGCTGCGCGACAGAAGGTTGTGTTGGGCAAGTTGAAGGACATTCTTGTGTGTGTTGATTAGATAGCGAGTGACATAGGTAGTGATTGAGTAGATTTATATGTATATAGACCATATTAGTAGAATCAATTCAATATCTTAAAAAATTCTATGCCAAAACAAAAGTGATTCCATTCAAGTTCACGTCTCATTGAGTCGAGGGGCTTATCGATAAGCGTTGACACCTGACATTCCAGGCCCACCTAAAACACTTTAGCAACCTCGACTTTTTGCGCCATCTGGGTATCACGATCAAGGGCCGGTCCGCCATAGCTCTCAATTACACCCTCACAATGGCGCCAATTGACCGCTGCTTGGCCTCCATTGCCAGGCTATCCCTCCTCCAGACTCCTCGACCGGCAATTCCCACGATACCGAAGTTTCTTGCCCCGGCGGCTGCTCAGCAAGTTCGACAGGCTTCGGTTGTGAGAATCAGGAAGACAACGAAGAAGAAGAAGGCGTTGCCTAAGGACTTTAAGAGACATAATTTGGCCAAGAGGGAATTTCCTCAATACTCGTTATGTGAAGCTATGAGGTTAGTGGGATTGGGAGCACAGTACCAAGCGGGGGAGACTAATATTGTGCAGAGTCCTACGAGCTGTTGAGGTTGGACAACCGCCTGCTTCGGTCAAGTACGAAATTCACATCAACCTCAAGACCGCCCGAAACGGACCCGTCATCAAGAACAGCGTCCGCCTTCCCCACCCCGTCCAGAGCGATTGGCGAATTGCCGTCATCTGCCCCGAGGGCAGTGAGATCGCCCAACAAGCCACCGCCGCAGGTGCTGTAGCCGTCGGTCAAGAAACCCTTTTCGAAGCCATCAAAAAGGAGCAGATCAACTTCGACCGTCTCATCTGCCACGAGGCCAGCGAAGCAGCTCTAAACAAAGCCGGTCTAGGAAAGATCCTTGGTCCCAAGGGTCTCATGCCCAGCAAGCGTATGCGAACTATCGTGCCCGACGTCGTCAAGTCGATGCGAGACTCTGCTGGTGCAGCTGATTACCGTGAGAGACAGGGTGTTATCCGCATGGCTATCGGGCAGCTGGGTTACTCTCCTGATCAGCTCAAGAACAATATCAAAGTGTTGCTGAACAAGGTCAAGGCGGAGTGTGCGGAGATTTCAGAGGAGGTGCACAAGGAGGTCCACGAGGTTATTCTCAGCACAACCCATGGACCTGGCATAAGCTTGAATGGAAAGTTGAAGGATGCAGAGGAGCAGATTACCCCCGAGGCATTGTCGAGCATCATGTAAAAATAGCCTTGAGCTTGTATAATTGTATCATATGTCATATTACGAATAGACCTTGTGAGCGTCGTGGGTATCATCATTCATTGCGGCTATGAACTGCCTCTGAGAGCCTTGACGGCCTCTGATTGTGCATCTAGCACTCTATATATCGCTAAACACTTTAGCACTCTATCCTGTCCTTTTATACCAGCCTTCTTTGCTTCTTTTAGAGCATTGCCCAAGTCTAGCAGCAATGTGTTTCTGCACCGTGTCAAACGTTCCTCCATCTTGATCACAAATGGAGCATTTGGGTCTAAAGACTCGAGAAGCTTTGTGATGCGGCTGCATTCTTGTGCTGAGGCGAGCAGCCTCGTTGGGGAACTTCCGTAGTTGTCGTCCTCGTCTTCCTCCTCGCTTTCTTCGTCCCAGTCGTCGTTATTCGGTAGACTATCTAGGGATAGACGTTCTTCTAGTGATGAGAGACGCTCAGATAGCTCAATCATTTTTCGGCCCTTCTCGATAGCTGATCGGACACCACGCAGCTCCCCATTAAGGGCATTCGTCTCCTCTTTTCGCTCCGTGACTTTTGTCTTGACTTCCTCTACAGCCCGTCGGAAACCAAGTAGAGAAACCTTGACATCTTCGACCTTGTCATCGCCGCCGCGCAGTTCGCTACCGAGCGAAAGAAAGGCCGTGTAGTTCGAATTGACCAGTTCGAGAAGTTCGGAGCTGATCGCAGCACTCCTGTCGCGAAGATCCGATCGCAAATCCTCGAGGGTCTGGTGACGATGTGGGAGAGCAGATAAATATGCGGCAGGTTGGAAGTCTTGAGCTAAGAAGTCGGCGCGAGGGAGAGCTTCGGGAAATGGTAGAGGAGCATCTTCATCGACAGAGGAAGTGTCGGAGCCGGAGAGTGTAAATGGAGCGGATACTCTGAGATCTGCCATTAGGGATGAGAGATTGTCTGGCGCGGCGGCCATTTTGGTTGGTCGTATACCGTTTGGTTGGTTGTCTGTAAGTGTCTCGAGGCTAAAGGTTAGGTGGCATGGATTTGGTGGAGGAGCTTCTGATGGTGAGGTTCGGCGGCGCTAGCCCTGATTGGATATTGCGATCTTATCAATGGACCCAAGATCTTGGTCTTCATGCGAATTCATTTCCATATCAATACAAGCCATGTCAGAATATCTGTCTCTTATAATAAAAGCATATAGAATTTTCAAGTTAATGGAATATATATTTCCAATGAGAATTCAAGGTTTGTTTCTTACGATAGTCTCCTCACAAACGAGAGAAGAACTCTTCCTGTCGCACATAGCCCAGGATCTAAGCTATTTGTTCCCGACACGAATACCGACCGCCAAGATCACCTCACCTGGAACTCCAAGTTCCGTGTGAGGAGTCATTTCCCATTGGCCATCAGCGACAATTCGGTTCTAGACTTGCTCTTTGCAACCTGGCAAAAGGTTTAGCTCCGTGGAGATCGAGTGCTGAATACCATGACCGAATCAAGTGGATGGGGGCAAAGAGAAACCGAGAGGAAGCGGATCACATTACGTTTGACGAGTTGATCCCAAGGGCGTGTTACCGAGGATATGTCTAGGCTAAAGGACGGCTGGCTTGAACGTATTGAAGATCAAGAATTGGAGCCAGTCAAAATCCCATTCAAATACAAGAGTTTCGAGTTGACTGATAGCCTCGAACATTAAACCTCTTCAAATTGATCATGTCAGATGTCACAAATTCCGTATTGTTTCAGGCGGCATTCAACCCTTGCTACAGTCTAATGTCACATCATCTGGCCCCAAGCTCGGTAGACCGTAGCTTGCCCCAACGTCCAGTGGCACGAACCACCAGCCGCTGGACAGAAGGAAGATGCAAGTTCAATTAAGGTCCTATGATCGGCTGTTCAAGTCCGGATATAACGCCTTCACCCACGTGAGCGGGCCATTTCCCAACAGTTCGCCGCAAATTCCATAAAGATTCCGCGCCTGTGTAAAGAAACGGCTGAGTTGAAGCTTTTGCACAGCGAAGTCGGAGTAGACCCTGGGATCGGCACTAAAGTTATGCATGCTGAAAGGATCTTATCTGATGGCTGCGTGATCACGGATTCGCTCGTGCAACTCCGACTTATGCCGGCCAAGTCCAGGTGAGCCCCGAGCCTCGGACGAATTAAGAAGGTGAGTGTCAATGCTTTGGAGGGGCTTCAGTGGAGGAATCCATTTAACAGAGAACGGCCATTGGAGATCTTCAGTGATGATGCTACCTTTCGTTACATTATGACGAGAATGCGAATACTCTGCAACGTAATTCGAACTGCCGCGGAGGATTATCAGCAGGATCGACGAGCTACTGCTGATAAAATGCCAAATTCTGACTGTCGCGTCAATAATTGAGTTTTAATAACTTGCTCTAAGGGTCTCACGGTTGGATGCGTTCAGGTGGTCAAGGTGTTGTGGAGCCACCAAAGGTTATGACTGATTAGATCCACCGCTGAGACTGGATGCCTGAAAAATGTTGAAAAATGCCTGGTCGGCAATCATATTACGAGAAAAGTTGCTGTTCAATTCGGTCGTAATCTGATGAAACCTCATCTGGCTGGTTGTCTCCGAATGCCTGGCGCAAATAATTCGTGCCTGGCGTGTGACGTCCGCAAAACTTTTATCAATCAAATCTTATCAATCTGATCAGATCCACTATCTTCTCCTGGAATCGGACCATTGGCTTTCCAACCGTCGGTTGTGCTCGGGGCACAAAAGTAACGAGGCACCCCGCGATTAATTTCCTTCTCTGCTACCCTTTCTCCCCTCTTCAACTTTGTTCTGATTGATTGATGATCCTTTACAAATCCTCCGGCTCCTGTACTTGGATGGGTTCATCACCTTATCAATCTGTCAATCTGGCTCTCAGCCGTTATCAATCAACCGAGGCTAAAGCCGAGATCGCACCGAGCTGTCACATCGCAGTTGCGTCAGCTGCGCTCCCAATCAATCTTATCAATCTGCAGCATTGACTGTCAACTGAGACCACCATTGACATCCACGGAGAGCTCAAATTAGAACTCAACAATAATAACCCAATTACGGCGATTTCTATTTGACAATCTTGCTTCGGCAATTCTTTCAAGATTTACCTCTCGGAACTCCGACCCGATTTGGCGCGACCGACCGAAAACAGAACCGATCTCGCCACAAACATAACGTCTATTACTCGTCGACTCCCACCATGTCGGCTTCATCACCTCAGTCCATTGCATCCCCTGGAGCTGGCACACCTGTCGCTTCACAGTCAGGAACCAGGCATCGTGCCATCTCAGCTGCACCAAGTCCTGCTGCCTCACCAGCCACATCGGGTCCCCACAGCCACAGGACGCCACTCTCCATTAAGCCGAGTGCGAAGCCACCTCCACCCACACAACCTCAGCAGCGCACTGCTCTTCCTTCCATCAACAAGATGGCCATGTCGTCCGTAATCAGTCCCCAGCCGGCTCCGCCGGAGCCTCCCAAGGTGTCTATGACTTCTAAAGAATGGGTGATCCCTCCAAGGCCCAAGCCTGGCAGGAAGCCCGCTACCGATACACCACCCACTAAGCGCAAGGCTCAAAACCGCGCAGCTCAGAGGGCCTTCCGGGAGAGGAGGGCTGCTCGTGTTGGAGAGCTTGAGGAACAACTTGATCAGCAACGTGAGGCCCAGGAGAAACATGAATCAGAACTCAAGGACAAGATACACGAGCTTGAACTTGATGTCCAATCCTTCCGATCTAGATGCATGCTACTTGAAAACATGCTGGAGCGGGAGAGACAGGACCGTATCAGAGTCGAGACAGAAGCCGAGACCCTCAAACGTCGTCTAGATGAAGGTGTCTTTAACTCAAATTTTCAATCCCGAAGCATGAGTTCTCAGCACCCGTTTGAAGGACTTCACAGTCCCACCAGCCAGGGACCAAGACACAGCCTTCCTGATGCACGACCTGATCGTCAATCAGGCCACTCCTTTTCCATCTCCCAAATCATCTCTCCCCCAGAAACCCTCGACATGAGCGCGTCCAATGATACTGAGACAGCCATAACTTGTGGCAACTGTTCTCCAAATGGACCCTGTGCATGTGCCGAGGAGGTATTGAACTCAGCGGCCAACGGCTGCGGCAAGTGCACTCTTACATCAAATTGCCAATGTCTCGACGAAGTAGCTGAGGCTCTTGATCGGTCTCAAGAGCTGAAGCGTCCTGCCTCACCATCGGCCAACGTATCTACTGAGAAGAGGCATCGGTCTAATGCTGACGCCGAGACTGACTTCACAGCCATGTTCTCCCGCAAGACTCAAGAGGCCTTTTCTACTCCCTCTCAACTCCCTTCCATGGACTCTATGCCTTTCAGAGATGGCTGCGGCTTCTGCAAGGATGGAACTTACTGCGTCTGCGCTGATACCGCCCTCGCGACTCCTGCCATGACTCCTAATGATACTCTTCCTCCCATCTCTCAGCAGGTCCAGACCCCACCTCCTGAAGATACTGATCTCCCTATTCTCGCTATGGAGATGACGGCCGACGGTGCTGTCAAGCTTCCTCCTCGCCGTCCCCAGGCTCAATCGACTGAGCGTCGTGGCTGTGGTCCCAACGGGCCTGGTACTTGTGCTCAGTGTCAGGCCGATCCAAAGTCTGGACTCTTCTGCCGCCTAATGGCCGCCAACTTGAACCGTAAGGATGGTAGCTCTGGTGGCTGCTGTGGTGGCAAGGGTGCTGGTGGCGGCTGCTGTAAGACCCAGAAGCCACCACAACCAGAGAAGATCAATCTCCCAAGTCTACCAAGCCTGGGCTTGAGTTGCGCCGAGGCATACCAGACACTATCCAGTCATCGCAACTTTTCAAAGGCGGCGGATGATATTGGCTCTTGGTTGCCTAAGCTCAAGGCCACACCTAGACCTGGTACTCGGCCAGCACCACCTGGCGCAATGATGCCAATTGAGGTTGAAGCAGCAAGTATAATGAGCGTTCTGAAGGATTTTGATATTCGGTTTGGGAGGGGAATTTAATGGGATCCCAAGCCGTTAAACTGGATGAAAGATATTGAGTACATGAAAAAATGGCGGTTTAGTGAGCGTACAGCTCGCGGCAGAGTTATGGCATGCCTAATATGGCACTGGTTTGGGTTCTGGTTGGAGCGTTGATATTATACCCTTCATTGGCTAAGATGTAGACTTCACTTGTCTGTGCATCTATGAATTTATGCGTCTATTAAGATCAATGCTCTTGATGTGAAACATGTCCCGGTGATGCATTCAATAACGTGTGCATAGCAGGGTTCTAGAAGAACTTGTGCAACTAGGGTGAGCTTGTATGATTTGGCCAGTCGGAGACGTAGAGGAAGTAGGCAGATGGGATGAGTGCACCGATTGAGCTAGAAAATAACGGTGTCCAAAGTGCCATGTGGCTGTAGGGTATAACCCAGGTGTAGAGCCTCAGCACTAGGTAGGCAGTGAGGGATTGACAGCTACGTCGATAGGTTGATGACTGTTCCATGAGTAATGACAACACACCAAGGCAACCTGTCAACCGCTGTTGGGATAGTCACGCGCTGACGTGCATGAAAGGAAAGACAGCCTCGGCTGAATGAGGACATACATAGAGACTGGGGAAAAGGCGGGAGCTAGATACGGATGAAGTTGTCGTGAACTGTTGGGAGGCGGTGGAGTTTTGATGGTGGAGCAGCATGGCCAGCGCATCGCCTGTACAAAATACAATCCGAGTCGAGTAGGGTAGCACAAATGTCGTTCACTGGATATTCAGACGAATAAGGATAGCTGCATTAGACTAAAGTGGCGAGTTAGAGCCCGAGGCAGCTGAGAATAGTTGATAATATACCGAATACGGCTGCATAACTGGCTAGAGAGTCAACGAGTCGGTCTGTCTAACAAATATGAATGGCTGGGGCCTCTCGGTGAGCTCTCAGCGCAGAACTCGTGTGGTAGTCAGTGATTGGAAGAGGATGCATGTGGATGTAAGCGCATGATTGGTGTCTTGGTGGTCTTGGGGGGGATGCGTTGGCACACACAACCCAGCTTCTGCTTGTAGAGTTGCAGCAACTGTTGTCTTTGCCTCGCATAGAGGGAACTGGCGTGGTGCGATCAGATTGGCTGCTGGTGTGGATGGGGGGAGGGGGGTTTGGGTACATTGTGCGATGCTGAAGGTCTGGTAGGAGGATGATAGCAATTGTTAGAGGGGAGGTATTGTTTGAAAAGAACAGCCTGTTATCTTTCATCACATGTTATTCGACGGTTCGAGTTTTTTCTTTCTTTTTGGTTTCATTAATTAGTGTCGTGAGTTGTATAAGTGGACGAGGCAATAGTTTAAACCCTTGTAACTTACAGCACAGGTGTAAAATTACCCGATAGTAGAACTCAATCCGAACACGGGGACATGCAGGTGCTTCTTTGTTTTGTTTTGTTTTGTTTATTCCTATCATTCATCTTAAATTCATTCTTCTCCTTGTCAACTTCTCTTGTCCTCGTGGCCATAATTGTCTGGTTCGGTGTTCTTGTTCCTTAGAGCTATTGCTGGCTGGCGGGAATGCATGACAACTCACAACTCCAAGTTACACAGATAATAAACAAGATACACTTTCTGTCGCCGAGATCACTTACTCCTACATTGTAAATCAGGCACACACATTCACGCTGCAAGTCATGATTGTCCTACCGTCATAGTCGATCATGACTTGGTTCAACCTGTGGATGCCTTGTTCCACTCTCAACCATAACGACGGGACAAGAACAGGTGTTCACGACAGGGCGCAAGTCTACTGTACTCTCCAAGGTCCACAGCCTAAATCCACAACTTCTCAAGAGCCGCCAGTCTCTTTAAACACCTCGGCCTTGATATCTGTTTAACCCAACTCATACTTGTAGCGCTTGGGCACTGCCAACGCACAACTCATGACCCGGCCCGACCGACCAGGGCAGGGAAAAGAGACCGCCCAGCGCTGATGGACACGTGCGAATCGCACAGGGCTTCAGGTACCGACCCACAAGAGAGCCGCTGGGCCAATAGACTCTCATGCTCACCCGCATTGCCGCGACGTTCCCGGCTGTAACAGGCTTAGCGTATAGCATCTGCCAACAATGCTCTGTACCCACTACCGTAGCGCACCGCCTGTTCCCGTCCGTTATAGCGAGGTAGCGTACTCCGTAAGGAGGGGATACTTCTACCCCATCATATTGGATCCTGTGCTTATCCCAGTCCAAGTCCAGTCCGATCTCGTTGTTCAAGGTTGTTTGTTTCTGTTTCTGGTTTGTCTGAGCCTGCCTGCCTGCATCAGCGTCTGATCTATGCTGCAGTCGGTCGGCGCAACCGACAGGTGCCAGTTGTGAGGCCCCTACTTCCATCGCTGTTATTACATCCAGCACAAGCACCATATCATCCATAGTAGTCCCTCTATTCCCACGATACCTTGCCTTGCCTACTTCTCCCCCACCTCCAAAAACTCCCCTCAACTCCCTCCTCTCACCTCCCACATCTTCTCTCTTCTCTCCTCTTCTCTTCTCCTGATCAACAATAGACTTACTCCTCCCTCGTTCTCCGTATCTCTCTCTGTCTTGCATTGTTTTGGCCAAACTCGACGTGCGACTCCAACTCGTGATACGATCCTGGTCCTTCATACGCTAGAACTTTTTGGAACGCGCCATCCATCATCTCAGGTTCCAACCTCGCGCCCTGTCATTCCTTACTTGCTCCAATCTTCGCTGGCAGGTCTGGCACCCGTTCTCGAATCCTCGTACAACCGTATTCCTTGCGACTTGCTCTTCCGCCTGCATTTGTCGAGTCAGATAACTTTGTTTACAAGCCAGTGAGCGGCGCCTCACGACAGCTATAATAGCTGCTCATTTGCACCGTAGAGTTCCCTGAGCTCAGAATGGTTTCTATGCAACGATCTTTGTCTTCACCTGTCCGCATTCATTCTGCTCCTAGTACGTCTCCGACGTTGCCACTCAGCCATAGTCTGAACCACCCGACTGCTGGCTGTGACTCTGTCTACAACTTTTGCTAATTAACGGTAGCTGTGTCCGCTGTAGCGCAAGATTCGGGGTCGCCCCCGCCATCTGTCGATATTCATGTACAACCATCTCGATCTCGACGACGACGCTCTCCGAGCCCTAGCCCAACTCGCGAATCGAAGCAGACATCACAACGACAGACTGAAGACAGAGACCATCGGGGTCATGGTCAACAACACTCGCCAGTCATGTCATCAAGAAAGCCCATTGTGGCACAGCCGAATATGCCAGGCCAGCCTTCACCAAGAAATAGCCCCCGGGTCTCGTCTTTAAAGCCCACCGACAACGATAGTGAGGGGCATTCTCCATTTAAGCCATTATTACAAGATGTTTCGCAATACACAAATCCACATCTTTCCCCCGAATCCGAAAGTACAACACTCGAAGAGCTGGCTCACCTAGTACGGCTGTCCAAATACCAGGAGCGCAAGCGTGCAAACACCCGCCTGCGTCTCCAGAGGAATTTGGTTTCTACCGCTCTCAGCGCCCGTTTGACCCGTTGCGGAGAAATAGCTCATCGTAATTTGGTCGACAGTTTCCGTCGTGACGACAAGGAGAACTTTGCCGCCCTCCACAGCGCCATCCATGATGTACGCAACAGCTGCGATGAACTACGTCGTTATGCTCTTCTCGATCCCGAGATGGAAGGTCTCGCCTCAGCCGGCCTCGCATCTTCTGAAAGTTTGGATACTCCTACTAACTCGGCAGCTCTTGGTCCTCTCCAGTCCATTACGCCATTTTTGAACGACATTTCTGCCTCTGCTCGCGATACGTTTTTGGATTTTCTCACACAGCTCCGTACAAACCCGGATTATTTGGCTACCCGTATATGTTCCCTGTCAAGTTCCGAGTTGAACTCATTCTTGTCTTATCATAAAGGTTTGGAGCCCGTGGAATCTGTCCTTCCGTTCCATGGACGTTCCGGAGGTAGAGCTCACGCAAGCGCGTCCGGACGAAACAGCACTGCTGTGGATATAGAACGATTGCTGTCTTTCCAACGACACGACCCTTTGTCCATCCTCATCCACACCTGTTTTGCCAACTCTGCTGGACCTGACAGCTCTGAGGATCAACGACGTACAGAAATCTGGGCTACTGCTTTGGCACGACTGATTTCTGAGCCCAAATCCACTGGCGAGCATTTCTTGATTTCAGTTCTCAATATTTGGACGGCAATGCGTGACTGGTCTGGCAAATCCAATATGGAATGGTATCTGATGAAGATTCTCGAGGATGGAGCCTTCTTGCTCGACCGAGCAGAAGACCAGCATGGGACACGATTCAACTTGTCCGACTGGAACCATTCGGATGAAGTTGCGGCCAAGGAGTTCTACGAGCGTGCAGTAAACCAACTATTTGAGCTTGTCGACGATGAAGATGCTACTGGAATCCCTGAAGGACTTTTGGAACTTGGAAATGCCATTTTGAGAAAGCTCGAAAACAAGTATGTCGAAAACACCTCCCGTTGGTTAGTTTGGAGATGCCTCTTCTTCGTTTTCCTCTTGGGCGTCATCATCCATCCGGAATCGTACGGAATGCTGGCCGAGTACCACATCACGCCTTATGCGCGCGAGAAGATCCTTAAAAAGGTAGCCATGAAGGCTCATGAGTATGTGTCTAGCATGTGGAGTGGTAAGCCTTCGGCAACATGTGTTCCTGTGGACATCCCACCCAAAATCAAGGGCCATGTGGAAAGTATTCTCGCTCGTTTCCAAGGATCACGATCCAAGGTTCCGGCTGCCAAACTCCTCCCAGCAAGGTCCATCACGTCCTTGCGAGAAACCAAGGAGGTCCATCCTTACCTGGTAATTAGCCCTGCTGATATCGCGACGTTGGTGAATGCCATATTCCCCGAAAGAAGACCCCACTCGGCTTCAGGAAGCTTTAGATCAGGACCGGCCTCTATTTCTGGCATGTCTGCTATCTCGCAGCCCATCTCCATGTCAAACCCAAGGAACAACTTCGAGACTGCCTCTATCATC